ACATAGTTCAGCTCAGTTGAACTGAGGAAGTCTGACCTTGGTCAGACGAAACGTTGCAGAAATACATTTGTGTTAGCGTGCAGCAAGACTGCACGCAAGATTGAACGCAAGATTGAATCACTTAATTAGACTCTTAGAGTAATCAATCAATATTTGTAAAACTAAACCTAATACGAAGCGATATTTTCTCCACCAGAAAATCAGAATTCCTTCCTGTTGGGAAACGGTGTTGACTATCGTCTCGCTAAGAATACATGACTATTATTCTACTGTGCTTTTTGCTGGCGGATCTGTATATTGCAAAGTTGGTTGTTTGACCACATTTATTATTTTCTGTGATTCGACTACTAAAGCCTCGCTCTTCAATAAAAACAATACTCATATAATTAAAATGTTATAACTTAAAATGTTTAATTAGATACGCGATCCTTGGATGTCGCCGCTTGAGAACCAGCTTTGGTTCTTGGCTTCCCTTTCCCAGTGAATTATGTATTCAACATTATTTCATTAAACTTTGCATGTTATTTTTTTACTGGATGGAAAAAATAAACTGGACTATGACTATTGACTGCTGTAGAAAGAGTGATAAGCTATTCAAAGAGTTTTGCTACATACCGGTACTAACATAAATGTATTTTAGTAACGTTTTATCCGAGACTTCATCAGACACACTGTGCTTTTCGCTGGTGGATATGTATAATGGAACGTTACGTAGCCATAGTGAAGATGACTATTGTAAGCTATTCAAGAGTCCTGCTGTACACTAACATAAATGTATTTCTGTAACGTTTCATCTTACTAAAACCAGACTTCCTCAAACACACATAATTCAGCTACAACAAGACAGGCGGTCGCGCAATTTTCCATATTGTGCGTTAGCTTCTAAATTTTCAGAACGAGCTCATTCATGCATGCAACCTTAAATAGTAAAATCTGGCATCTAGCGAATACGTCAAGTATGCTGTTACCAAAAAACAGTAAATTTTAAAAGTATTTAGACGTTATTGAAACCAAATTAAAAATGGAATTTTACATAGCAAAAAAACCCGCGTTTTACTAAACAAGCCTCGAATATCAAATACTAATATATAATCGCAAATTTTGAAAATGGAATAACTTCAAAATCTTAGTAAATTTACAGCTTATGTTTAACAGCAAGTTCTTCAAATACTTGTCCGTTTATTGCTTCCGCGCGCTGCCCTCAATTCAAAAGCCTTTCGCCGCGCTTTATTCTGCGCAACGTATAGTTCACGCCAAGTGTTGACTGACGACTTCCTTTGCGATTCAAGCTCATGCATTTGTAATTATAAACTAGTTAACTAACTATTCTCAACCCGATTTGGAGCGCCCCAGAAGTGTGTGTACCAATATGGAGGTAACTAATTTTGTTCGCCTATTTAACTAACAAAGACAGTCCCCGAACTCGTAATAGAACTAAAAAAATAAGGAAAATCGGAACAAAATTTTGTTCTGACTCTAACCTGGTACACATACTACGGGAGTAACCGAGCTGGACAGCCTCCTTATCAACATTCCACTTCGACTCTTGTTGTCTGTTCTCATTTTTATACTTTTACATTCTATTGTAGTATTCGCAAATTCAGTCAACCGTTTCATGCAACTAGCAGTTTTATTACAACTTCCTATTTCCATCGCTACATTTTTCGAATTTTATCACACTAACTCAGGGACGGATCATGCGCTTTAGAGACCCTAGGTACTTTTAGACTTTGGTTATATATATAAATAAAACAATATTTTCGAGAATAGCATCAGCGGTCATGTGAAATTATGTCTTCTTATACATAGCGATTTTGTTTTTGACGAAACGTCACCTCGCCATATACATACAAGCGTCAATGTTATCAATTTTGGGGCCTTTAATGAATGCTCCTGTCTACCAGTTCAGTCATCTTTGACTGTCCCTTATTTTATATTGTAGCAATGCAAACTTTTTTAGGTCTTTTATACGGCCCACGTTTTGAGCATTTAACTTTCATCTCCCAATCCCGTTGTCTGTTTTCCTTTTTATACTTTTACATCTTATTATTGTAATGGCGAGTTCAGTCAATCGTTTCATGCAACTTCCTATTTCCATCGCTACATGTATCGAATTTTATCATACTAACTCAGGGCCGGATCATGCGTTTTAGAGGCTCTAAGTATTTAAGATTCTATATGTACAGGTTGGTCGCTAGGAAAAAACAGAAAATTTGTCAAACAACCATTTATTTTTATAAAGAATAACTTTTACAGAGTTTTTTGAAGGCATATGTTTGATGTTTATTTATTGATGTTAAATTATATTATACGTATAGAAGCTCAAAATGCCATCCGTGAACTTCAGAGCAGTGTCTAGAAGTCAAGCTTGTGTGGCATTTTGGAGGTTAACTTGTAAGATATCGTTCCAAGCTCTTTCCAAACTCGTTTTCGAATCATCATTTGTAAATATAAATAGCTGTTTGACAAATTATCTGCTTTTCTAACGAGTGTATAAAATATAGTTATAATGAAACTGGCATTATTTTCGAGAATAGTTCTCATACTTACAGATATGATATTTGAGAACGAAACATCGTCTGACCAACTCGAATAATTTCGTTTAACACTGAGGCGCCATTAAAATTGGCTACGTAAATTTTTGTAGTGTGTGTACCAGGTTAGGGTAAGCCTTTTTCTCCAACGATTCCCCTCGCGGGCAGCGTAGAGACCGTCCACTGGGTGTAAAGTAGGCGAACAAAATTAGTTACCTCCATATTGGTACACATATCCCGGAGCGTCCCTTTCTTGCTCTGAACACGTGCCTTTTCTGCTTAATGGTTGCCCTGCACTAACTTGACTCAACAATTATTTTGATCTTTGCAGTTACATCTTGTTTAGTCTGAAGAAGTTAGACCATGATCTAACGAAAGCTCACTAATATACTTTCGTGATTCTTGCTATTTCGTAAAAAAAGATTATTCTACTCTTGGTAGGCTATACTTCTATTAAAACGTTAGTACGATATATCATCTCAAACGACTGTCGATTTATCTCATGGGGTTTCATCGACGGCATATCAAGCTACCTAAACAGAACATGAACGTTTTTTTCAACTGAAATTATACTGGTTCAGGCTTTTACTACATCGAGCTAACCGTTCGAATACGTTTGCCACCTCTCCGCCGGGAACTCTTGTGTGCTTTCAATTCCCGAAGGGGGAAAGAAACAATTGAAGGACATCTCGTCGTGCACGTAACCGTTGGTCAATTGTGTCTTTCTGCGCCATCCTAACATTCGAACAGACAAATATACTATTCGTCATATGATTAAGCGGCGCTCTAGAAGTGTGTGTACCAATTTGAAGGTAACTAATTTTGTTCGCCTACTTTACATGAAGTTGTGTAAAGGGACTGGAACCTATGGGCAGGGGACATATTCACTTGGCGAACACAGACAGTCCCCGAACTCGTGATATTACTAAAATAAGGAAATTCGGAATAAAATTATGGCCTAATCCTAACCTGGTACACATATTACGGCACTACCGGTTAAGCATTCGTTCTTGCTTTTCTTTATCTCGCGACGAATAAAAAAATTCTGCCATGAATCGTCGATTTTATGGCTCAGGGTCACGTCATTGAGACGTATAAACATAATGGTAATGGCGCTTTAAATACAGTATTTGGTTTATTTTCTCTTTCGGGTTCAGGTCATGACTTGTGAAAAATGTATCTTGTTTAGTTTTTGAAAACTGAGCTAATTTTGTATCTCTGATTCGGGGTCATGTGAAATTAAGTCTTACATAACAATTTTAGTTTTTTTTTTCAACGAAGAGACACCTCGCGATATACATAAACGCTAATGTTATCAATTTTGGGACTTTTGATGAATGCTTCTATCTAACTCTACAAGTTCAGTCATCTTTAACTGTTCATTATTCGATATTGTAGCAAACTTTTTTAGGTCCTTCATATCAATCAAATCTTTTTTTATAGCCATTCATGAAAAGCACAATAAAATCAAAGCAAGCATTTGTATACAGTCAGGCAGTCTTTGCCTAGCCCTAGAAGGACAGCATAGCCGCGAAATGACCATTCGGTCAACTTGTCAGCGGCATCCGTGAAACAGCTTGAAACTTGTAAATACAAAATATGCATATATGACTCATATTTTGAGTATTAAATAATGAAAGACTTACCAAGTGATGTTCACAGATTCACAATTCAACGGTTGCTGCATTGTACCAACGACTAACATACCGATTGTACCAAGCTTTGGGAACACTGTGAATTGCTCTGCCGATTGCATGGGATTGCAAGTTTCTATTCCGTGGGAAATGACGAAGTGCGCTCACGGCCTCACGGGGTGATCTACTACGGGTAAGGTTGCGTCAAAAATTGTACGCGAAGATTGCTGGATTTCTTGCCATAGGGTGATTTACGTAATCTCATAAGGACGTATTACGTAATTTCCGATCGATTACAATCAATCAATCAGCATTTATTCGTCAGCACAAAATAAACGTATCATAAGAAGAGACATTTCAAACACAATAGGAAACTAACTTAGGTTTTGTGATAGGAGTCGCGAAAGATCTCGTAAGGTCATCAGGCAGCGACGCATAAAGAGCTCGCTGATTCAGGTTAGTGATCACAAAAAGTTAATGAAACACCAAAACACTTCAAAAAATATTTTAATAAAAAAAGCAGCAATTTTGGAAAACAAAATATTACCAAATATGTATCATGAGTGATTTGTAAAAACAAAACAGTCCGGTTATGATCATGTTCTTTAAAATCCGCGACCAAAGCTGCAACTTAATAAATAATAAATATAATTTTACGCAACATGAATTGGTAAGTTCATGGTTCAACATATGAGTAAGCTGTCTCATCAACTTTCCTCTCCTGGGCTAAATGAGAAAATCCTATCTTATCATTTCGCCGATGAAAAGTCTTAAAGTGTGTGTATAAAACCGCCACAAGAGGCACTCTCGTTTCCAAGACGACTGTGACGTCAGACAACATCGCAGTGTGCTGAAGTATTCTTGTCAAGTAGGCTTCAATTAATCTAGAAAATGCAATGAAATAGCGTTACAAAATGGGTAAAAAAGGTGGTAAAAAGAAAGGGAAGGGCAAAAAGTCCGGGGGAGGGAAAAAAGGCAAGAAAAGCGGCCAGCGCGAGGATGAAATGACACTTCAAGAAGCCGTTTTGGCTTTTCAAATTCAAGTCAAAGAGAAGGCAGTCGAGGACCTTATGTTTGAAATTAAAGGTCTTCAAGAGAAAAATAAAAGGCATCAAGCCAGAAATACAAGGCTTAAGGAAGAACAAGACATACATATTAAAGTTCTTTTGCGTCAAGCTAAAGAACAAGAGACAGAACAAGATAGCAAGGAGTCTTTTACTTGTGAACATGTCGAAAAAGCAATGCGACAGGTTTGGTGGTTGAGCCGCACCGAAGAGCAGCAGCTTAAGAACTTGGAAACAAAAATCAATGGGATTGATAAAGAGTATTCAAACGTTTGGGAACAAGTTGAAATGTGGAGAGCGTACCGTGATTCTGGGGCAAAACAACACGCTGATCAAATCCAAATTTTAGAACTTGAGTTGGAAGACATGAAAAGAAGTTTCGAAGATATTTGTGCACATTTGAAACGTCAACTTGATAATGCAAAATCGGAAGTTAAGTCGTATATGGATCAATGTATGGCTGAACAGCAACATCTTGCTTCCGAAAAAGCAATGGAACAAATGGACAAAATTGGAGTACAGGAAATACATGAAAATGAGTGGCTGAAAACAGAGGCTGAAATTCACAGAAAAGAGGTCGCGTCGTTGTACTCCATTGTCGAAACTTTAGAGCACGAAAACATACAATTAATTTGTGAACTTATAGACTGCCAAGCTGAAGATTTAAAAATTTCACGGACTTTTGCAAATGTGGGGTTTGAAGGGGAAGAAACAGATGCAATGGACCGGAAACAAATGTCAATATATGAACCGGGATATAAAAGTCCCACTGGAACACCGACACGTCGTGCGATCACTCCGGGAAAAGAAAGGCCACGGAGCGCTATGCAAGCCGCGATAGAGGATAGAGTGTTTTCTATCAAATTCGCTGATGATTCATCTGAGGGAGAAGAGAGTGAAGATGAGGAAAATAAATTGGCACTGCATGTAGATGATGAAGATAATATTTTGTCACAGCAAGAATACCTTCACCTAGGGCCATTAGAACTCAAACTTCTTTGTGTACGAGGAGAACCAAAACCAATACATGAAATTGACGCTGGCATACAAATTGTCGATGGAACATCTTCTGATTTAACTGTGACTCGCCCAAGATGGCCAGTTTCTCCACCTATGATACGAAAAGCAGTTGAAACACCGTAATTGAATTTAGTATCACTTTTAGGATCAGGGGGAATTAAATTGAACAGTTTGCAATAGTAAAATTGCAATGTCACATTATAAAAACACCATGGTGCTCCTGATAATTGTGCCTCCTGTTTTAGTAATAATTAATGAAATAGAAAAATCAAAAATAACTATTTTTAAATTTTTATGTTGAACCCAATTTGTAATCTGATATTGACAACAAGGTTATGCTTTGGAACCCTAAACTACTCAGTTATTATCTATGTATAAAACTCGGAACTGGACGAATTTTCAATTTAGGTATTGCTTTTCCATACCTAATTGATATAAAATCTCAACAGCTTTTCAAGCTCGTTCTTTGTTAGCCTGAAAAGCCTGTTTTTACTAAATTTATTGAAGTTTTCTGCAATTTTTTTAGGCTAGGCAACAAGAGCAATAGCATATTTTGTATATTATGATGCTACTCTTCAAGCCGGTACTACCTAACATTGAATAGAGCAGCTACTATCACCCCCCTTTTTGTAAAAATGTAATACGTTCGTTTAAGTGAACATGTTTTTTAATATCCATAATATAAATTTGAATCTTTTCTTCATAAGCAATTATTAGTGATATGTTGTGCGGCAATGTTGCAAGCTGACTATTATTCGTTCTTGTACTGCTGCATCTTTATGTGACCTGTGCCACAAGGATGCTTAAATGAGATGAAGCAGTAAGCTTCTAGCAACTAAAGAGCAGAATATAATCCCACATAATAAAAGTTTTACTAATTTTTCTCCAAAACATAGCATAGTTTATTTATCACCATTAAAAGAAATTTTTCTTCAGGTTCAATGGTGGCTTTGATTTTCAAGTAAATGAAGTAATTCAGCATACAAATTTGGCAAGACCCATAGTGTGTGTACCAGATTAAGCCATAATTTTATTCTGATTTTAGTTCTATTACGAGTTCAGGTACTGTCTGTGTTAGGCAAGTGGATATCCCCCTGTCCATAGGTTTCAGTCTCTTTACACAACTTGATGTAAAGTTGACGAACAAAATTAGTTACCTCCATAATGGTACACACACTTTTGAAGCACCCAAAATTTTTATGCCAGTTCAGTTTTCGTATGTTGGCACTAAATTCTGCAACAAACCAGCAAATATCGGAGATTGTGGGATTATTTGTTCCCTATTTGCAAGAGTGTTCACCTTTTATAGTTGACTATTTGAGAATTTTCTAAAGCTTTTCTAACTTTAATGGCAATGTGTTGATAAGTACCCTGCTTATTGATATTATCTTTATCTGTTACGAGCATAGCATAACATCCTAGCAAATATATTCATCTTCTTTGTAAAGTAATAGCTAGTTATATATTAATATCTGCTTGTCTAGAGCAGTGGTTCCCAAACCGTGGGCCAATTACAGCCCGTGAGCCAAGCATAATGGTTTAATACGACTTGCCCAACTAAAGTGAAATAGTTCAACACTTTATGTCTTTAACCTTTTCGCGTTCTATATTCTGCCAATTGTTATATCATCATCACAGTGTAAGCACGTGTATATCCATACCAATTCTATTATACCAGTATCTTAATTATACGACCGGTATTGGCCCCTTGCGAGCTCTCCCTTTTCCCGGCCCGCGAATGTCCTTCTGCTTCTAATTCTGTCTGCTCGTCAATCAACTTTGGGAACCACTGGTCTGAAGCCTTATTTGAAGCTCATAAAAGATTGTACCGGTAAATGTACCAGATTTGTGCATTCGTATTTTTCAAAATGTGCCCATTACTTCTAAAAGACTTTCATTTACATTTTCTTAAATGTATGTCCCTTTTTATTGCACTTTCAGTTTAACTATGCTTTTCATATAGATTACCACTTTTTCTGTGTTTTTTTCTCACGTGTCATAACCGTATAATATAACCACAATTTCGTTCATTCTGTGCCTTCATGTTGGTGTGTGTGTCCAGCTACAAGCGGGCGGATTCGATTTTGGCGCTATACCTTTTCACACTACGAATAGGGTTGGGCATTTCGAATCGAATATGAAATTATTCGAATCAGTTCAGAGCAAAATTTCGAATCGCCGCCATCTTCTTCTTTTTCTTCCCGCCAATGGTCGAGCTAAATATCTCATTTTTTTTATTGAAGCCATATTTTTTCAACGCAATTCAGACATATGACTTTTTTCTGTAGTGAGTTATTCATGAAAACATGTTTTTTATTGTGCGTGAAATCTCAGAAATCTGCCTGAGTGATGTATTCTATGTTTTCAGTAATTAATGTGTCTGGAAGACCTATATAATAAAAAGTTACATGCAATTTTATATCTCCAAAGTATTCAAGATTCGATTCGAAAAAATTATTCGATTCGATTCTAAAATCATCAGGTATTCGAAAATGCCCAGCCGTAACTACAAATCACTCAATTGAAGTTCGCGAATTTCGACTCGTTTGGCTTGTGTGCAGACAGACAATTGCGAGAGTATTCCCGATGTCGATCAGGGACCCGCTCATATTTTTAGGATAAGGATAAGAATTACATATTTATCCCGGGGGAGAGAGAAGCCGATTCGACGGCTTATCCATATGGCGAACCACGGCCTCTCGTCCGGTTACCATTCCATGTCGGGTATGGGGTTAGTTAGGTATTTGTTTTTCCGAAGCATGGACTTGATGGTGGAGGAAGCCGTAACCGACCAGCGGTTACGTGAACCACCCAACGGCGGCGAGGAGTCCAGCAATCCTCTCGCACATAACCACCCCGCATGGGATTCGAACCTGCGAACCCACGCAGAGTAATTAGAGGTGCGGTGGCGAGCGTATTCCTAACGCTTAGCACGATGAGCCACACCGCTGTGGCAACTTTTAACCAACTTATAAGTTAAGTGAAGCTAAATTAATTTAGAGCGAATATTTACATTGGTTGCCGTGTGTCAAAGTCGGAAACGAAATTTAGATTAAGATTTTTCATATTTAACCTGTTGAGAGGAAAAGCGATAAGGCAGTGGTTCCCAATCTATTATGGCTCGTGGCTTGCTCACGTAGGCTTTCAGCACTCACGAAACCCCCTGTTCAATATTCCAGTGGTATTTATATTGTGAATATGATTGGTAGATTCCAAATCACTTTACGTTCAAATAATCCCTGCTCAACAAAGTGAAAACACCCTGTGAAATAACCTTATCAAGCAATGAAACTAGGAAGAACGGGAGGTTTTCTTGTGACGAGTAAAATCAGTTTTGCGCCCAACATGGTGGCCCCTCCCAACTGCTCTGTGGGCCCGGGCCCTCGGTTGGGGACAGCCGCGATGAGGTTTCTTGTCGTGTCGTCACTCCACGTTGAATATGGTTGGTGTTCGTGAAATTACCAATTCATCGTTTCAGATACTTGGACTTAGGTAATGGCGATTTTTAAGTTTATTTCAACTCCATAATCAGCATAATAGACGATAAAATAATTGATTAAAACGGATTGTAAAATCAGGAGAGCATAGTAATGTTTAAAACGTACATATTTCAGGTTGGAAGGTGTTGTCAAAGGAAGTGGTGCGTGTTCCTTCACACCTACACAAACATACAATCACGAGACATAATAAAATTAGAACAGACAAAATGAGAAATATAAGATACGATACATAGTAAAAAAATATACAAACAAATAAAAAACAGAAAATAACAATTTTTCACAACAAAATAACAATTGTGTGACGGTTGACAAACTGGATACCGATAACAGGAGTGAGATGTATAAAAAAATGTCGCACAACCCTGGCTTAGAATGTGTGAATCACGGCGTAATCGGTGGTTTCCATATGACGTTCTCCTAAAAGACACCGAACTATTGTTCTGAACCTTGTTTGGGTCACGCCTGGAACATTGATCGTAACAAAAATTCATGCATGCCCGTATGTTAGAGTCGTATGTCAGACGTACAATTTAAAATGTGGCTTCAATAAAAAAAACTTGTAGAATTCATCTCGACGTTTGATGGACAGAAAAAGAAATGGCCGCGTTTCGAAATTCTCGTCTGACCCGATTCGACTTGAAATCTATCTCTAGCAAAAACAGGCTAAGATTAAATTTATTGATTTCGTCAGGTTCACTAAAGCAGGGGTTCTCAAACTTTTTGTGTTGCGGAGCCCTTGAAAAAGTTGACTATTATTCACGGAGCCCCAAAATAAATGTTAAAATTGTTACTTTCCGAATAATATTCCTGAGTAAGGTAAAAGTACTGTACTTATTTTAAATGCTAAACCTTTTTTTAATAGGGTTAATACAAGTCATAAATAAATCTAAATGTAAAAGATAAATTATATATACTCTTACTAAAGCTGTAAATTTGACACTTGACAAACATATTAATAAATTAGGGGTCGGATCTTTTCCCTTAGACATTTTTGATAGACTTAAAAGGCCGCTAAAACGTACTCGATTGCATTTTGTTACGATCGCCGATTGTTTTCGCCAGCACGGCGGTGTTCATTCTCCCTAAATCAAAAATTCCCCCGACAGATACATGTATAGTTAGTTCCACAATGACGACGAGTATAGCTTTTTTGTTCTCGTGGGGAATTATGAGTTCAATGTGAAAAACATGTTACCATATTATAGTCATCGGGGACGAAATGCTAAAAATAATAAATAATAAAGAGGTAAATCCGCAACTCAAATTTCCTGATTGAAAAGCGGCATTCTAAAATATTAAAACTAAAACTTAAAACGGAAGATAACACTATAAGTTTTGTTTCAGCAGACTCACGTCAGATTAAAAACGCTTTCATAGACATTGTAAATCCCAAAATTTGGTGTTTTGTTGGGATTTCTTTGGTTATTCGTCGTAGTAACTGCGAAACCGAAACACGGTCAAATGTGCGCGCGATGTACCTATTTTCCCATTCTGAAACTACCGACGGAGCCGCATGCAATGAAATAAATTTCAATCTTTCGTATTTTGCCCCGACCTCATGATTTTTCAAACGGCGATATCTTGCTCGTGAGTGCGAAAGAACAAATCAAGCTTGACAAATCCCAAGATCGCAAAAATACGACTGCAATTTATGTACAGTTTATTTATAGTTATAGCGTTGTTTATGGTATTTCAGAATAGTATTCTTTCAATCCAGTAATCCTAATAGTAAAATTAGCCACTTCAGTATTTTGAAAAGTAATCGAATAGCTCGCGGAGCCCCTGGGTTTCTCTCACGGAGCCCTGGGGCTCCGTACGGAGCACTTTGAGCACCTATGCACTAAATCAGGGGTGTGCAAACTGCGGCCCGCGGGCCAAATGCGGCCCGTGAGGAAATATTGTGCGGCCCGCGGAGAAGTTCCAGTTTTGAATGGTGTGCCCACGAAACGAGTTATATGGTTTAGTTATTTTGGTACGTGCGAGCAATTCCAATTCACTTGCGTCGCAAAGCATATATCAGTACCCGAGTGCCACTGTAATATTAGCAAAACTAGCTAGCAAAAATTTCAACTACTTTAACTACTAGAAATTATACCTTATTATTAAATTATATTAAATTATACCTCCTGTAATAAAGGTTGCACACCCCTGCACTAAATCATATCGGACATTCTTTCGTTCAATGACATTTTTTTAATGTGTTCAAAATTCTCTATCGAAAATATTATTTTCTTCAGAGTGAAGTTATGGTGATCGGGGTTTATTCCATTATTCACGGTGTGGTTTCCACGGCTACACTTACGTTGCGTCAAATTTCCTCAAATACTTTTAGTTACGCAAGTTAGGCGCAACAGCGTTGTGAGACATTACATGGTTTTCCATCACGAGATTCCATCAGACATTTTCGTTCAATAACATTGTTTTCTTGAAATCAAAATTTTCTATCGAAATATTATTTTCTCCAGAGTGAAGCTATGGTGATCGGAGTTTATTCCATTATTCACTGCGTCGTTTCCACGGCTACACTTACGTTACGTGGGAAATTTCTTCAAATACTTTTATTTACGCAAATTAAGCGTAACAATGTTTTGAGACGTTACATGGTAACTGTTTCAAGAATGAACGTGCGATCATTTTAGCCTAGTCCGCCCTTTAATTACTAAAGCGAATTGCCCCAGTGCAGCGCGATTCCAAGCGGAAGGCCGGCAAAGCCCACAACAATTGGCAGAATTGGACAGCCAAAAGCTCAGAATAGGCGCTAGGTTTTCTAAATCTCATTATATATAAATACTTTTGTCCAGTTCCCATTTTTTCTTAAATTAAATTTTTTTTAGGGGGAAATACTAATTCCCTATTGACCCGCTAGATGTTACGGCCTAATTTGGGAGTTAGATATTTCAGACCTCCATTGAAAATTGTTGGCTACGCGCCTGATGTAATATTTTCGCCAAAGCGGGACTATGGCGATCGGAGTTTGTTTTCACTTTCACGATTCGCGACGTCGTTTCCACGGCAACACTTACGTTGCGTCAAATTTTCTCGGGTACTTTTAGTTCCCTGAGTTAGGCAAAGCGGGCGCAACTCTTTTGTGAGACGTAATACGGTAATTGTTCTAAAAATAGACGTGCGATAATTTCAGTTGAGTTCCGTATGTTTACACTTTCTCCAATATTTACTGCCGTGTTTCCCCGGAAATAAGACAGGGTGTTATTTCTATTTTTTTTTTTGAAATATAGCTCCAGGGCTTATTTTTGGGTGGATGTCTTTTATTTTCATTTATCAAAAACAAAATTACAGAGTACAGAATTAAAAGATTTTCAAATATACAAATTATGAAAACCGATATCCATTTACTTATAAATAACACGTTTTTATTCAAAATGACTGCTAAACATAGATTATAAATTATTTGAAACGCGTAAGAGAGATTTCTTACTATCGACTAAGTCAAAAAAAAATTCGCGCTATCGACTAGATCAGGGGTTCTCAAACTTTTTGTGTTGCGGAGCTCTTGAAAAAGTTGACTATTATTCACGGAGCCCCAAAATAAATGTTAAAATTGTTACTTTCCGAATAATATTCCTGAGTAAGTCAAAAGTACTGTACTTATTTTAAATGCTTAACCTCTTTTAATAGGGTTAATACAAGTCATAAATGAATCTAAATGTAAAAGATGAATTATATATACTAAAGCTGTAAACTTGATACTTGACAAACATATTAATAAATTAGGGGTCAGATCCTTTACCTTTAGATATTTTTGAAAGACTTAAAAGGCCGCTAATAACGTACTCGATTGCATTTTGTTACGATCGCCGATTGTTTTCGTCAGCATGGCGGTGTTTATTCTCCCTAAATCAAAAATTTTCCTCGACATATACATGTATGATGTATTGTTCCACAATGACGACGAGTATTGCTTTTTTGTTCTCGTGGGGAATTATGAGTTCAATGTGAAAAACATGTTACCATATTATAGTCACCGGAGACGAAATGCTAAAAATAATAAATAATAAAAGGTAAATCCGCAACTCAAATTTCTTGATTGAAAAGCGGCATACTGAAATATTAAAACTAAAACTTAAAATGGGAGATAACACTATAAGTTTTGTTTCAGCAGACTCACGTCAGATTAAAAACACGTTCATAGACATTGTGAATCAAAAATTTGGTGTTATGTTGGGTTTTCTTTGGTTATTCGTCGTAGTAACTGCGAAACCGAAACACAGTCAATTGTGCGCGCGATGTACCTATTTTTCCATTCTGAAACTACCGACGGAGCCGCATGCAATGAAATAAATTTCAATCTTTCGTATTTTGCCCCGACCTCTTGTTTTTTAAACGGCGACATCTTGCTCGTGAGTGCGAAAGAACAAAATCAAGCTTGACAAATCCCAAGATCGCAAAAATACGACTGCAAACTATGTATAGTTGGCAGTTTTTCGCGTATTTTATGTTATTTCAGAATAGTAGTCTTTCATTTCAGTAATCCTAATAGTAAAATTAGCCAATTCAGTATTTTAAAAAGTAATCGAATAGCTCGCGGAGCCCCTGGGTTTCTCTCACGGAGCCCTGGGGCTCCGTACGGAGCACTTTGAGAACCTATGGACTAGATCTTATTTTAGGGGGAAGGCTTATAATAAAATAATTTTCAAAATTCAGGATAGGTACTATTTTCGGCACTCTGGAACTATTCGTATCAAGATGACTCACAAACTGAACAACCCTAACCTGGTACACATACTGTGTTCAGGTTGTGCGCCATCTTAGTACGAATACTTCGGGAGCACCCATTTTTCAGACTAGGTCCTATTTTCGGGAAAACACGGTATGTACCCATGAAACACCAAGAACTAAGTACCGTGATGAAGCATGATTTTAGGCATGGAAAGATAAAGAAAGCAATATTTTGCGCGATTCGTTATCGCGACTGCCATCGGCATGCCCGAAGTCTCGTTTGAGTATAATTGATTTGATCAATGAATATGTATGTATGCTGTTGATTTGATCAATGATACGTAACGACATGTCATTGCTTAATACAATTTGTTCTGAAAGGCACATATCAAAAACACAAATAAAAAGGCACGGTAAATACATGTGTACGGCCCAAATGAATAAAACAAATAAAGGAATCAAATAAAAGGACCGGGACTGGTAACCAGACGAGAGGCCGTAGTTCGCCATATGATTAAGCCGTCTTGTCGGCTCTCCTCTCCCCCAAGATAAATATGTAAATCTATCTATCCTGAATAAAAATAGACACAGTAAAATAAATCCACGCGTACGTGTTATCATGGAAGGAGAATCAAATAGCGGCCATGCAGTAGGCCTATTCGAGAAAATTTACTCGCGGCCGCTTCCATAATTAGTTACCGAAAACTTAAAGTTATGCTTAGGTTTCAAAACAAGTATATAGCATTTATTTTCAATTTTGCTGTTTCGAACTCCTCAAAAAATGTTTGAATTCCCCATTTTTTTGCATTACTGTTCGTGCTCGTTTACTACAAAGGTGAGCTGGCGCGTGTTTCATATCTTGAACCTTTTGCCACAGTTAACTAGCCTCTTTGAATCTTATAAGAAACACTTGCTTATATTTTATTGCGCGATTTTATTTGGCATAAGATTCAATATATCTATCAAATCTATTTTTTTCTATAACTATGGCGAGTTGAGTTCATTTCCTCTTTCCGTGGTTTAGCGTCGTTTCCACAGCGACACTGACGTTGCGTGACAGATTTTAGTTCCGCGAGTTACGCAAAGCAGACGCAACTGTTTTGTAATACGCGACGAGGTTGTTAATTATTACTAAATGTTTTTGTGTTTGTATATTTTCGAGAGAAAGAAAAACGCTGCCGATATATAAATATGTGCGGAAATTGGCTGACACGAGCATTTACTAGTCTAGGTTTTCAGGGCTTGCCAACAAGGATGTTTTCTCACTCGAACGGAAATGCTACAAAAAAGACAGCACTGATCGTCGTCGACGTTCAAAATGATTTTATTTCTGGATCACTGGCACTGTGTAACTGCCCTTCAAAACATAAGGGGGAAGAAGTTGTGCCGAAAATTAATGAGCTTGTTGAATTGCCGTTCTGGGATTTGGTGGTCTATTCAAAAGACTGGCACCCTCCAAATCACATCTCATTTGTGTCTAACACTCATTTGTTTCATCCCCATATGGACAACAAATGTGATCTTACCAATCCTTGCGTTTTTGACCATGTTATTTATGATGTTGATAGCACCGTCGTGGAGCAAGACCTGTGGCCTGTACATTGTCTACAGAACTCAGAAGGAGCTGAATTCCATAAGGATTTGAAAATTGTGGAAGGAGGTGTAGTTGTACACAAAGGCTTGAATCCAAACATAGATTCCTATTCTGCTTTTTTCGATAATGGTCGACGCTCTGAAACTATTTTGCAATCAGTATTGAGAGATAACAGGATTTCAACACTGTATGTGTGTGGACTAGCGACAGATGTTTGCGTAAATTTTACAACTTTCGATGCTCACAGCCTTGGGTTTGAAACGTATGTTATCGAGGACTGCTGTCGTGGAGTACACGAAGAAAATATCGAGAAAACATTCAAAGACATGAAGGAAGCAGGGATTAAAGTTGTAACTAGTGAGGATGTTCCAAAAAATAAAGAAACTCAGAGCTAATATTGGACTTTTCAATATAATTCCATGTATGATACAATTTCCAGAATTTTAAGCTTAAAAAACTGGGTATCAAGATGAAATATGAAAATCCTAATCTTTCTTTTGTTGGAAGAGCTGGCAACTAGGATTTCATAAAATCAACAAAGAATATTTGAATAATCAACTTTAAAACTTAAACTGATAATTGGATCATAAGCAACGTTATTCGGTCATGGTTAGAATATCTTAGCTTTTTCTATTATACTTTTTATGCAGTAATGAATATGATTTCTTCTGTATATTTGTAATATTTGTTTGTTTGTTGTGTGTACTCTGTATATATTAATTACTTCTTGTGCACTCTCATGTAATATTTTATCACAGCGCTTGAGGTAAAAAGTTCCAATCTCGAAAAGCAATGCCACTAAGCCTTTTTCTTCACGTTAATAAATATGAATGTTTTCTTTTTTATTCATATATTTTTAGTGTATTATTGCACTTCATGTAATATTTTGTAATACTTCTTCAGGATGAGTTCTATCATATTCACAAAAAGTAATGTCAGAAATATAAAACTCGACTTGGTTATTGTTATTCTGACCACTGGCTTCAGGTGTGATCATGTAACTTTTCATGTCTAGTCTAAATTGGCATGTTCCACGTCTAGTCAGTGGCGTGTCAAGTTTTTCTGATGCCCTAAACGAGTATCTAATAATGATGCCTGTTATAACTAACTTCGAAAATAATTTTGGGGATAAACAATTTATTGTAATACATGAGAATAAATAAATTAAAGGTTAAGTATGGGTGAAATATTATTATTTAAATCACCAAGCTAATCAACAAACTCACCTTATAACGTGCTGTCTGGGTGGGTTCCTCCTTGCAATCTACAGAAACGCCACTGCGTCTAGTCTACTTTGGCATGTCTTACGTCTAGTCTATATTGGCATGATTAAATCTTCCTGAAAAGTAAAAAAGTGGAATATGCAGATTTTATCTTGACTATTCTGCAATATCAATTTTGATTTCGACAATGGCTTTTAATTCAAACATTGTGAACCTTTTTGGGTTTAAAGTTTTCAGCAAATTTTAAATAGTTTTTTGAGTAATTGTCTTTTGAAATGTAAAAAAAGCATTTCACTGTATCATAAATATCAATTTTTCGTAATTTGTAACGCTTTTTAGACCCTCACAACTTTTAAAAACCCTCGCTTTCCCGCCTCCGATCAGACTCGCTAACTGATACAGTTTAACTCCAATAACAGCAATTTAAAGTTTCAGAACCCCCTCTCTCTGGCTACGCCCCTGAGCAGACAGATAACCATGCTTCACTAAATTATTGAATTGTCCAATCATCTATCCCAGTGGTTCTCAACCCTTTTTTTCTTTCGTGGCCCACTAAGTTTTTCGTGCTGGGGGGGGAAACTTCACGGAAAACATAGAATTCTTCCTGGAAAAATAGACACTGATAATAATTAGGCGAAAATTACCACCCTGTAACAAAAACATGATCATCCATTGCTATTACCATCAAATTTAACTAACTCTATCAGCAGCCAGCAATTTTTAATCTGCCTTTGGCCCACTGAAAATGTTCCTGTGGCCCAGCAGTGGGCCATGGCCCACCGGTTGATCTATTCTCTCCCATAGGCTCATTGATCCTAATTACTAATGCTCTCATACCCATATAGGAGCTACTGTTGTATGCCACTTGCTTAACATGATCTCGCCACATAAAGAAATTCTCATAGAATTCAGTTCCTAACCATGATTAAAATTATCGAGATCACCCAACTGCGAGACAGTATACCAAAGCGTAGCCAGCTCGAAATTTCAAGGGGGGGATTTCAAATTTTTTTCTGTATAATGACCTAAAAAGATGCCCACACGTGCCTTTTGCTCCGAATAAAGCCAGATAAAGTAGCCACTGCATTTAAAAGAAAATTGGGGGGGGGGGAGGTGTCCCCTTATGCTCCCCCTATAACTATAGTAGCACCCCTCATAGTAATAATATATCATGCCGCTTAGTTTTCTTATTTTTGTGTCTTGTGTATTTTCAATATATTCCTGTATTATGTAGTATTAGTATTATAGAACAAGAAGAAACATGTGGTTTTATTTCTATCCTCACATGCTTTTTCACATGACGAGATGGTTCCCGAAGAATAACAGAGTAAAATTGTAAGTATTTTTGGGTAGGCTACTCATGTAGTATGTGAACCAAGATGACGGACACCGGAATGTTGTACGTGTGCCAGGTTATGGTTAGGCTATCATTTCAGTCACAAATACTACGGAAGTCACTTAGCTAGTCCCCAAACTCGTAATAGAACTCCTAACATGGTACACATGCTACGCTCCAGTGTCCGCCATCTTGGTGCACATACTACGGGAGCGCCGTATTGATGGAATGAATCTAAAGTCAGAGATGTTTTTTTATCCATCTTATTTTAACTTGGTAAACAATTGACTAATGCAGTTTTTGTTGTTGTAGTATTCATATAATTTTCATCCTTCAATAGCAGCAATACGCCATTATGGTGTCACAGCTAGATAATTTTTGAGGTTTTCTGTGACTCCCTTTATCTGTGAATAACAAAATACTTTGCTCCTGTTTGTAAATGTGTCTTTAATTTTAACATGGTGGTGAATATATATTACTACTACTACTTTGAACATAGGATAGGATTTACATATTTATTCCGGGGGAGAGGAAAGCCGATAAGACTGCTTAAACATATGGCGAACCACAGCCTCTCGTCCAGTTACCAGTCCAGGTTTGGGTATGGAATTAGTTAGCCAGTTATTTGTTTTCGGAAGCATGGACTTGGTGGAGGAAGCCGTAACCGACCAGCGGTCACGTGAACCACCCTACGGCGGCGAGGAGTCCAGCAATCCTCTTGCACATGATCATCCCCGCATGGGATTCGAACCTGCTATCCCACAAAGGGTAATCAGAGATGTGGTGGCGAGCGTATTCCTAACGCTTAGCACGATGCGCCACACCGCCGAGCAATTTGAAACAACTTGAGACCCTCTTCAGTAGGCTTTTAGCACTTGTGGCCCTTTGTTTATCATTCCAGTGGTATTTATAGTGATATTTTGATTGGTAGGTTCCAAATCCCGGACCTCCTGAAGTATGCGCATCAAGATGTCGCACAACCTGAACTCGGGTTGTGTACCAGGTTAGGGTTCAGGTTATGCGACATCTTGGTGCGCATACTCCAGGAGTACCCAAATCCCATTATGGTCAAACAGTTCATGATTAACGAAGTGAAAACACCGCGAGCCATAGCCTTATCATACCATGAAACTAGGAGGAACGAGGAGTCTTCTTGCAAGAGTAAAATCATTTTTTGCGTGGCATTGTTGCCCCACTTCGACTGCTCTGCGTTTGAAAACCGCTATGCTCGTATCTTTGCAAAAAAGTGATGCTAGTTGTTGCAAAAACTTTAATGTTATGAATTCAATATTGAAAATAAAGAATTTTTGCTTTCATCCCTGTCTTTGGGAGGTTTGATGATATACCTATTCTATTATCAAACAAAATAGGGGGCTCCCGAAGTATGCGAACCAAGATGGCGGACATCGGAATGTAATATGTGTACTAGGTTAGGGTTAGGCCATAATTTTAGGTATAAATACTACGGGAGGCTCTTGGCTAGTCTTCGAACTGATAATAGGACTAAATTAAGGAAAATTGGAAAAAAATTATCGCCCAACCCTAACCTGTTACCCATGTTACGTTCCGATGTCCGCCATCTTGGTTCGCATACTTCGGGAGCACCCAAAATAGGGTGTCCATAAATTCTTAAAAAAAAATTAAAATTGCAAAGGGAATTTATCAATACCATATATAGCGCAAGTTACAAGAGCGGATGAATCGAAACTGCAGTTTCTGTTTTGGGGGATCCCCTAACTATCGATCGATAAGTCTTCGGTTTCCAACCGATATTCTCGTTTTATTCTTGTTTTGTAAAGTTGAAATATTAATTTCATAAATTTTATTTTCAGTCGGATACTTGCACTCATTATTTCTTTGTCGTTGTTGATTCCCGAGTTGTATATTCTGTTGCTGCCAAGGTCGGAACGAGCGTGCGAACAACCCTTGCTTTCTATATTAGTGGCCAGCACTATTTTCCTGTTTTTCACTGTCGGTAAGGAAGATTTGATTGTTGTAATATCAGTTTAGTAAATAGTTGCTCAAGGCAGGGTTGTGCAACCTGTGGGCCAAATACGGCCCTCGGGGAAAATTTATGCGGCCCAACCAATTTATCTATGATGTTACAATGCCCAACAGCTTGATTGTGCGACGAGAACAACGCATGTCACAAAATCAATAACCAACATTGTTATGCCTGCAACTTCTAGATATATAAAGGTGCGACCCACGGTTTTACCCAGTTATTTGTATCTGGCCCTCCGGTAGTGAAGGTTGCACATCCTTGGCTCAAGGCAAAAAGAAAAGAAATTGATTTGGATGGTGGCTGGTGAATTCAGTGAGGAAATGTTGCGCTTGAACTACCAATTTTATCATGAATATGACTTTTTAGGTTCAAGCGTTTTTGGTTCAGCATTGCCGAACTAATTTATTACACACTGGGTGATATAGTGCAGTGATTCTCAACCTTTTTTTCAAGGTACCCAAATTTTTTAAAAGATAATTTTTTGTAAAATCTCGAGACGCAAGGATATGTTTGAATACTAAACGACATTAATACATTTTGACAGCAAAATTACGGTAAATGACTAATATAAACAATCATTTTTATATAACATTTATTTCCCCACAGTAACTTTCAGGTTTTTGTTAAAAAAACAAGCGACCCAAGAAAATTTCAAGATGGCCCAGTTTTGGGTCGTGATAGGTTGGGAAACACTGATGTATGTATGTTTGTTCGTCTCGTAAAAGCAATATAAAAGAATTACCGGTAGTAATTGTAAATACTGAAGACAGGATGTATGCACAAGACCATACTGGCCTAAAACACGAATGTGCGGCATACACCCTTTTGATATGTATAAATTATAATAAGGTAAATCAAATACGTATAATATGGTCCCTTATACAGACAGTTGTGCAAGGAGGGTGGGTGTGGTAACAGAGGTAACGGTGGAGTATACATGTCCCTGATATAATGGACATGTGCATTCTTGGGAGCTTCGTGGGTGAAGCGCTATAACTTTGCTATGATGGCATCACAGATTACAAATTTCTGGTTCAAATCACATACCCGCCATCTTGTCCAGGGTACAATGAATTGGGGAGGCACTGAGGCAGTGACAAATCGATTTAGGTCGTTATAAATAATAGCAGCTTTTCATAGGTTCACATATCAGTGGTTTCTTGTACAGGCTTTGTTCGGGGCAAAAGTCGTAAATAAGCGTTGAATTTGAAAAAATATTTAGTTTTAGCTATCGTGACTCTTTTATATATTACACAGGCTTTGGGACTCTCTTCACTTTGTTTGAGCCGATACCGAGAATAATGAATTTGGCATTTCACATATTCGGAATCCTTTCCTTCATTCTTGGGCTTGTAACAACAGTTTATACGTTTCAAGCTACTGCATGTGTGAGTATTCGAATCATATTTAAAATTATCAATTAATAGTCTTTTCAATATTCTCATTATTATCCTGGGGGTGAAGAAAGCTATAAGACGGCTTAATCATATGGCGAACCACGGCGTTTCGTCCGGTTACTAGGATTAGTCAGCCAGTTATTTGTTTTCGGAAGCATGGACTTGATGGTGGAGGAAGATGTAACCGACCAGCGGTTTTGTGAACCACCTTACAGCGACGAAGGAGTCCAGCAATCCTCTTGTACATAACTATCCTCGCATGGGATTTCAACCTGTGAACCCTAATTAACCTAATTCCTAATGCTTAGTATGATGCGCCACACCGCTAAGCCTATACCATGCCCATCAAAATCGGCTTGTAAGATGGTTTGCTTCGGAAAAGCCGTATTGAATGCAGAGAACACTCCTCACTTTAGTACTGTATTTAGTTCGATTTTTGTTCTTGTATAACCCAATGTTAGACTATTCATAGGTGTCGTTGCTCGATAACCAATGCTGGTTTATCGCGTCCCCTTTCACCCTGAAATGCATTATTTTCCTCTCTTTTCTTATCTCGTTCTGTATGTACAGTGTGTATTTCTTGGTGATAAAATAAATTACTGATTACTGATTACTGATTACACTCAGCACTTCATATAAGACAGAGTGTCCAATAAATTTTGCATGATTTTATAGTATTAACAATCAAAGTTTAAATAAATTTTATTGTATGATAAATGAGAACTACAAGCATAATAAGAATTGTTTATAAACACAAAGACAAAGATGTTTTCAAGTGTTCTCACTATGAACTCGGGCAAAGTTTTTTAGACACGCTGTAAATGAGTATAAGTTCATTTTGACTCCATGATCAGCATATCAGGGGATAAAATAATCAATAAAAACATTTAGAATTTAGATTTTACCAAATTGTACCGAAAATTTGATTATCTGTATTCTAAAAAGTGATAACTAGATAATTTGGCTGGCATAGGTGAAACACCTATTTTATAAATTCAGATCCATAATTCAATTCATGCTTTCACTTAGACAAATATTTACTCTTGCCATGTATTGTATAGGACTGGTATTCGTTTGCCTTGTCAGATTATTTGTTCTGAGCACACAGACTTGTATTCTCTGGGTTCTGGATGAATGAACACTCAAAATACAGAGCTCAAGCTTAATTGATGTTCAGTCTTGCTTTTTTCACTTCCAACCTTATCATGTCTCGATGATTGTGTGTGTGCGTGCGTGCTTTAATTTATTTTTATACTTTTGGGTGAGCGAACACGTACTACTCCTCTTATCAATACCTTTCCATCCAAAATCTGTACGCTTCAAACCTCACTTGAGGTTTTGTTTGCTCTCCCGATTCTATAATCAATCAATCAATCATTTATTCGTCGTCACAAAAACATCAAATGCACAGAAAATTGGTACAGGAAATAAATATAATAATAATGATATTTGTGCGACAGGAGTCGCGAGGGACCTTATGAGGTCTTCAAGCAGCGACACCTAAAGCGCTGTCACTGGTTCAGTGTAAAAAAATAACTACATTTGCTACAAACATTTGACTATGCAATAGTCGTTATGGTGAACATATTTTGAATCATTGAAAAAATTCGAAGCAAACGCAACTTTACTTAAATCATATAATAGGAAAAAAAGAAAAACAACTCAAGTATAAATTTATAAAAAAGGCATATTTGGATAAATGTATATAAGTTATATAAAAGACAAACGACAAGCGAGGGGAAAATGGTGACAGTGATTAATTGAATAGAAGTTATTTTTCAGTTATTTTTTTTCTATTATTTTATCGTCTACTGCTGATTATGGAGTCGAAATAAACTTATAGGCCTTATTTATTATTGGTCTATAATGTATTTGCAATGGTGTTACAACCCTTTGCAATGCCCAGAATAATGATATATATTTACTTTGTTGCTGTTTACTATGGTTATGCAGCTTGGTATTCTGGGATTTCTAGGCCTACTGCCTTAATCACGCAGCCATTAATAATTTGAGTTTATTAAATAATATTTTTCAGTCTGAAACAACTACAGAACTGTACTATTGGTGTTATGTCAGCACAATACTAACTCTCATATGCACAGGTAAGTTGTGTCACTGTATGTAGGAATAATCATATAGACACAGTTTCAGGCTTATGGGCGAGAAAGCTGACATGAGAATAGTTATTTTTTGAATTTGGTAAATTTAATGGTATTTTTTAAATTTGAATTAGAAAAATTTTATTTTTTTGAATAGTTAATTGTTCTAGAATTCTTTCATGCAATATATTTTGATTCTGAACATTTCAAATGGATTATTTTGCACAATCAGTGACAATCTGAATTTTTGAATCTGAATTTTTCGAATAGCATTTTTTGGTTGTAATGAACTAAACTGCTTTCGATTTGGATCTTGGCATGAAAAGAATATGCACCAGGATTTGAATAGCCTTATGAATGAGCCTTTAAGTTAAGATAGGATTTACATATTTATCTTGGGGAGAGGAAATCTGATAAGATTGCTTAACCATGTGGCGAACCACGGCCTCTCGTCCGGTTACCGGTTACAAGTTTTGAGGTTGAATTGTGCTATGCTGTTTCCCTAATCACAAAATACTTGTAGATGAGTTTTCTCCGCTTGGCTCCTAGCGTCTGCAGTTACCTCAACAAAACTACTGTTTGGTCACACCTTCTTTCACTATACAAGCATCTGGAACAATTACCTAGTGAAGTATTACCATGTCTGAAATGGAGTGTTAACTGAAAACCTCTGCCAGGTTCCAGTCTCCAGGGTTGAATATGGAATCCCACAACTAGGGCGGGGCATTTCGAATCGAATTGTAAATTATTCGAATCGATTCAGAGCAAAATTTCGAATCGCCGCAATCTTTTTTTTTTTTTTTTACTAATGGTCAAGATAAAAAATTTTCAATTTTTTTTATTGAAGCTTTTATTGAAGCTTATTGGACCTATTACAATAAGAAAGTTACATACAATTTTTTATCGCCCAAGTATTCAAGATTCGACTTGAAAAAATATTCGATTCTGAAATCATCAGGTATTCGAAAATGCCCAGCCCTACCCACAAGTGAACTAAAAATTATTCATTCAAAATAACTCTTTTTCTTTTCAGGTTACTTCATACTTGTTGCACCGTTCTGGATAATTGAAGCTTGGAAACCATACTCTGTCCTCCATGAGAAAGCAAGACAAGGGATCTGCTATGAACCTACATTGTGCTGCTCTTGTTTATGGCATGTAGTGTGAGGATAAGGGGGGACTGAGGGGCTTTTGGGGCCCAAAGAGTGGGTGTGGTATTAAGACTATGTTTTCTCTTAATTTCTAAAAGTGTTCCATCGCATAATTGATTAATTTTTTTAACATGATTTTTTACTTTTCCACTGTAAAAATGGCCTAAGCAGTTCCCTTCTGTATCAATCTTCTTCATGAGAAAACTAAATAAGGAATTATGGTCATGGGGACTTTGGGAATCACGAGAGCATGTGTGATATTTAGTCTAGGGCTTTTGATTTTTCGATAATATAAAAGTCTATAATTTGTAATTGAATTTACAGTTTCTATTCACTGTTAAAAATAACGATGGATGAAATTGATATTTTATGAGCAGTTTTACAGAATATGTTTCGATAATTACTATAATTTCGCTATGATGAAAAAAGCTTACCGTAAGTATATTCAGAATCAATTAATCAAATTTTTTGTCAATTTGGGGTTATCTCCACAAACCTACCTTTTAAAAAACTAATTCATTCCATTTTCTTATTAGTAAGTAACCCTTAAGTCCATCACTTCCTTAGCTTGTGTGTGCATATGCTATATTTCTTCAAGTCTTGCAAAATCATGGCAGTCTCAAATAATTTAGCAATTACCAGTCTATCCATTTTATATTTTTCAAACGCAGTATTTTTCTATAATTTTTTTTATTTTTATCATTATACCGAAGTCTCAATGCTAAACAGATGGTACTATCTTGTTATTGCACCACAACTAATATTCTGGTCCGCTCCATCTCCCACCCTGTTTTAGATATGTTAAGAAGAAGTTATTGCCCACCTTTCTTTGCTCAGGTCACAGTGGTTCTCAACCTTTTTTCTTTCATGACCCACTTTCGTTGCATAAAACTTCTGAGGCTCATTAACTTTCGCATGCAAAGGATAAACTAAACAAAAAAATTCTTTTCCCAAAGACGTACTAAAGTATTCGAATATCTTTTTGGCTGATTTTCGAATGGTAGCCACTTTTCGCCGTAAACACGGTTTTTCGCTTTTGCGGGAATCTTCAAACGAAGTTTTGCGCTTTGTCGCATATTGTAATGACAATAAAATCGGCACTAGGGTTGTTTATATTCTGTGCAAGCGTGTGTTGCGACACCTTTGCACGATTGTGTGGTGGACATCGCCGCTATTCCCCTACACTGCTTCTAATTTACACATTCATTTTCATTACGTCCAAAAATTGAAGATTATTTTATGTCGTAATTGTTATGATACCCAATAAATTATCGCAAGTCGGAAAAACAAGTGAATTTATTAGAAAAAATAATTCATACTATTTCCCGCTTTTTGGCGAATAATTTTGTTAATGATAGATAAAAGTTTCGACTTTTTACTAGGATGATTTTGTGTTGAGCAAAATATTCATATCCATGACCGATACCAGGATAAAATTATTATAAGGTATTAATTTAGTTATGTTTAACGTAACTTACTTATGGTTGCGTCCACAATCTGCGAGCATAAAATATGTGGTAAACTGTCCGATATTATTAATTTTTGATTCCTATTTTGATTCGTATTTACAAAATAATAAAAGTGTTATGATATTACTTTGTAATACTACGGGGATTTGTGGACATAAAATGTGTTAAAGTGCCCGAATATAATCAATTTTGATTCATATTCACAAAGTAATAAATGTATTATTCCTCCTAAATACAAGGGCGATTGCATACGTAAAAAACTGTGGCAAAGTGCCCGAATATAATTAATTTTGATTCATATTCACAAAGTAATAAAAGTATTATTTCTCCTAAATACAACGACGATTTGCATACGTAAAAACGTGTGGCAAAGTGCCCGAATATAATTAATTTTTGATTCGTAATTTCGTATTTACAAAATAATAAGTATTATTACTTCAAAATACAACGGCGATTTGTGGACTTAAAATGTGTGGCAAAGTGACTGAATTTAATTAATTATTGATTCGAATTTTCACGAAAAAATTGTCCTAAGTCTGAAAAATAATTTATACTTTATTCAGCTTTTTGTTAAATAATTTGAATAATGGTTGAAATTTAAAAGTATAGACTTTTTACTAGGATGAATTTGTGTTGCGCAAAATATCCAAATCCATGACCGATACCACTCTTTCAATGCCTTGTCGTATTAATTTGAATCTAATTTAAACGTAACTCATGGTTGCGTCGAAAAAAAAATGAAATGAAAAAAATGAAAGCGATACTATTCTAATATATATATCGCAGTAATCTGTGAATATGAAAAGCCTGGTAATATAGCCTGTTATTCCATTGTTTATTGTATGCAAATTCTTTCATATACAATAGATAAGCGTATTTTACTTAATTTTATTTTCGAATGTACTCTAAATAGTGAACTCTTCGGTATTGGCCATCCCTGGCGTGCAACTACTGTTAAGCCTGTGACAAATGAATGTGCAGTCCGCGATTTCATCCAGTAATTTGTATCTGGCCTTCCTGCATTAAAGGTGCACACCTCTGGCTTAGTAAGGCTTGGATAGTAACCCAGCCTGGGTATGATCAATGACTTAGTGATGGGACAATATCAGGACAGTAACCATCTTCTAATTTACTTTGCAAGTAGCAACACACTGTCTCTTCTTTCCACTGTATTTTTCATTTCACATTTTTAGTTTGAATACACTGAATGCACCTATAATGATTTTTATGCTGTTGTGCATGGTAGTAATATGAGTGACATAACTTCTAATGTGTTTTGCAACTTTAATGTGAATATCAGTGGGGTTACGCAAGGCTAACTACCTTTCCTTGCTCTATGTCTTTGTAGAAGTGAATCTGTATGCGTGTAACGCAATGATGTCAAGAGTCTTGCTGCACACTAACACAAATGTATTTCTGTAACATTTCGCCTGACTTTAGTTTGAATTCAAGAAGATTTATTTGAGTTAAATATAACTTACCGAAGCATTCATTTATTGTCACACTGAGCGAGTTGTGTACAAAAATTCTCATTTCTAGAAAAGCTATCGCAGTTATGGCTCACCTGGCTAAGGGCAATTAGCTCATTTGATTTGGCAAAATTGTAGATTTGACAATACATGACTAAGCCCTAGTCTGGTTTTCAAAATAAAAACACTCTGAAGTTTCAATGCTAAGTGAGGCAGATTCACAATAGCTCACCAAATCTTCAGTATTGCGATTTTTCTCTGATGGCCCAGGAATTTCTAATTTCCAAGTTAGAGCCTATCAGCTAGGAAAACGTTGATTTTAAAGTCTTGAGGGTCTGAGAAGCGTTTCAAAGAAAGCGAAAAATTGCTGTGTATGATATAGAAAAATGCTTTTTTTTACATTTCTAGAGGTAGGGTTTCGATCCCCCTGTTCAGGGAACTATAGCGGCCCTTCCCCTAATCAAGCAATCATTCTTAGATTATCCCTCAAACTAATACGCAAATCAGCGTAACACAGAGAAAAGAGTAGGGCAGGCAGGCAAGTTTGTTTTAATTTTGCGATTCCTGACTACGCACAAGAATGCAATTATTAGCTCACTAAAATGCTCTTGTTCAATTAAAATGTCGTCTATCCAGACACTGGAATATTGGGGCCTTGCATAGGTGAAACCTGTGAAAATGAAGCCAAATTGAAAGAACAGCCTATCGGGAATTGGCTACAGCCTGGTTTATATTCGACATCTGAAGACTGCAATACCCAGAACTGCTAACCGACCAGCTTTTTAATTCAAATCACACATATAGTTAATCTGACCTTCATTCTGCACCAAAATAAGTTCTTTTTTGATTATTCAATACAGACGCTGGAGAAATAGAGCATTTGAATTTTTTTAAATGGCATATATACACCCCATGAACTCCAATGACCAATTGCAAACCGGCCATCCTATAAATTTAAAACACACATATGGCTAACTTGTCTTTTATTCTGCACCAAAATGATTTTTTACACGGATATTTCAATACAGACACTGAAGAAGAAGAGTATTTAAATATTTCACAACATATATAAACCCTGAAACAATTTTTATTTTTCCCCCCTTCAAACAACCAGAAAGGAACCACAAGTGTGAAATAACACACAATTCAAATGTGGAGGCCAAAAAAGTTTAATAACTAATATTTAAACAGCATCAAGATTTGTATATTTGGACTTTATGATTGATCTTTTCGGGATGCTTATATTGACAGTAAAAATACAGACTCCAATTCTTTTAATATTATATTAATTATATCCCTAAACCTGCAGTTTTCCCTTGTTTTGTTTATATATTGTACACATGCACCCTGTGAACTTTGAACCCTAAAAAAACTCTAAAGGTGGGAAACCAGCCAAAAACTCCAACATGCATAAAATGTCACACTATTAATAACAAGGACCCAAAATAGTTAGTCAGTAAATCATATTGTTTATTAGACATTTTTATGATAGATTTGTGTTCATGATTCATTGTTTCCCTGGTGGTGCCTCTGAAGCCAAAAACGTTTCCCTATTCTTCTAAGAGCGATAATAATTCCGATCCCCAACCTGCAGCTTTTGATCGATTTCCTTATTTATGATTTCATTGATACCACAAAAATTTGAAATTTTTTACTCATTATTTATAAACCCTTCATTTGGGACTCTGGGGAAGATGAAAGCAGTCAGGAACCACAAGTGTGAAAAGCTACAAAATTCACGAAAACTGACGCCGAAATAGCAAGCAAAAACTAATAAAAATATCTTCATCAACATCTTTGAATTTGTCTCCATGATTTGTCTCCTTAAAGGCAAAAAGCAAACATCTGGTCTCCCAATTCTCTTTTAAAAGCGAAATAATAACGATAATCCCAAGCCCAAAAAATGAAAATCCTCAAATAAAATTGTCTAATAGCTTTATGTCTGTTGTATGAGAGAGGTGTTGACCAATTTCTCATTCAATGTCAACTGAGCTTGTAGAACATTGGTCAAGTAACGAACCATGAGTAGATCCTGTAAAAAAACAATGATAAATCAGTGATATAATCAGTGCCCGGCTGCCTGCAAAGTCACCACGATGGAATTAACAGATAAAATGTGGCAATTGTAAAAATAAGCACTAGATTTGGAAAAACAGTGATACCCCTTGGTTTGTTACTTATCGATCTCGATAAGTATGTTGATAGATATTTGTTTGTCTGTTAGATGCACGCGATATCTCACGAAAGCGAGGTTGAATCTGCTTCAAATTTTGCATGTGCATTCATCATATTGAGAAGCCTATTGATTTTGGATGAATTATGTCGTATAATTAGCGAGTTAATAATTAATTAGTGATGGGACACACGGTGTCACTATGGAGTAAGAGCGGATGAATCGAAACCGCAGTTTCTGTTTTGGGGGATCCCTTAACTTTCGATCGATAAGTCTTCGGTCTCCGACCGATATTCTCGTTTCTAATGTCAACCAATTACTACCAACATTTCTGCAGTACTCCACAATAAGTAATCTATTTAGTTTTTTTATTCCAACTTTAGCGTGTCTTTCACTTCGAACAAAGCTTTCTCTAAGCATATACTTCCATGAGTAAGATTTTATCTTTGGGAGAATCTTTATGGCCTTGCATAGCCATTATGCGCGGTAGTTCTCCCTCGAGGATGAAATAAATTGTGTAGAGCAGGGGTGTGCAACCTTTATTGCAGAAGGGCCAGATTCAAGTAATTGGGTGAAGCCACGGGCCGCACTTTTTCTTTCAAGGTATAATTTATAGTAGTTTCAAGCACAAAATATATTTTTGCTAGCTAGTTTTGTTAATATGACAATGGCACTCGGGTACTTGTACTGGCTTTGCGACGCAAGGTGATTGGAATTGCTCGAACTCAAAACTCGTTTCGGGGTCACACCATTCAAAATTGGCACATCTCCGTGGGCCCCACAAAATTTCCTTGGGGGCCGCATTTGGCCTGCAGTTTGCACACCCCTGGTGGATCAAAAAAATCCTGGCACGTGAATATCGGTGATTCCTACCCGCAGTTAAAACTTATTAAAATGAAATTTTTTAAACTTCTCTCTTTCACCCAACTACACTTACATTTATATTATTATTCAGCATTGTATCGAACTCCTTCTCTGAGAGATGCGGGACTGAATAAATAAGATCAAGTAGAAATCTCCCAGTGTTAGAATCTGGAGGTGTTGTCCCATCCTGAAATAAAATAAGTGTTCAGAACACTTTAACAAATACTTTTCAGAAGGTCGACATAGATCGCTTTTTTCAGAATTTTTACAACAGACAGTACACAGATTTAGATCACCATTTGAAAGTGCAAGTCTTTATATAAAAATGCTAGATTAGCAGTACTAGTGCACTCACTGTGTGGCTCACCTAAAAACTGCTGCCTATAAGACACCCAATGTGTCTATATAGGCCAATCAATTGAAGATTGAAGCCATACAGGTGTATTTGTACAGGGTGTACAAATTTCGTCCAATTTTATAGTAACACCAATTGTAGTTCGCATTTATCATACAATAAAATTTATTTAACTCTTTCTTTCCGTATGACGAAAATCTTCGTACTCCGCCATCCTTGGATAATATGACAATAATAGTTATTTTCGGGCTATTTTAAGTTTATGTTTTGTGAAGTATTCCCGCACTAACTAAAATCATTTTAGGCATCCAACTATGATCCATGCTTGATTCGTCAACATTTTTTTGTAGATTTTTTTTTTTACTACCAAGTGAATTTTATTTGTGTAGGTATCTCAAAGCTTAGAGATACACGAAAGTATTTGTCATTACTTCAAAGATAAGTCATTTGAACGAGCGGGAAACAATTTCACGCACATAATAAGCAAACAAATATTCCAGACAACTATCGTAAACATGCTCTCACATAACATTGATTATTTCGCGTTTCGCTTTGCTTGCAAAGCTCAGTCTGGTTTTTGTGCAAAGATTACGTATCGCTCGTTCAGGAGAGCTCTTGAAATTTCGTTTTGTGTAGCACGTGTTCACCGCAGCGATAAGAGAGAGATTTCATCTTTTCATTTCATCAATACGTCATTTGGGCGCGTTTTAGTAGGAAGATGCGAAAATAAGCTTTTTAAAGAGATATTGGGGGTGTTTCTTGCACGTTTGGTTAACTAGTCATTACATATTATAAAATGGTACAGAAAGTTGATTGTAACCAGTGGAAAAAGAGGGTTAAACTTACAATTGTTATTACTATAAAACCAAGCGACATTTTTTGGACACCTTGTGTATCTCTCCCCATTCTTTACTGGCGACTAACCCTTCTGAATGTTCTGGTCGATAAAATATTTATCTCCAGGGAGAGGAACGTCGGTTCAACCATTTGGCAAATAGCCTCTCGTCCAGTTACTAGTCCATGTTGGATATGGGAATAGTTGAACTAACAGTTAATCATTTCAAATACTCATCTGACTACTTATACTTCTTCTATGCTCTCGTGCCTATGAATACGTATGTATATAATTAAAGGATGTTGTAGCAAGAGTGAAAATAACTATCCAAAGTGATTCAAGAGCCCGGCTGCACACTATCAAAACCTACAGGAGTGGTGACTCCTCTACGGCCAATGGGCCGGGGCCACGGCCCATCTAATTGGGCCACATGGGCCGTGGCCCATAGCTTGATGGGCCGTGGCCCTATCAGGAAAAATTCAATTATCTTAACAAAATTTTCAATTTTTACCAAGTTGTCAATATTCGAACCAAAAAAATATACTCCTGTAGTATGTGTGCCAGGTTAGGGTTAGGACAAAAAAATTCAGATTTTTTACATTATAGTTCTATTATGAGTTCGGGGACTGTCTGTGTTAGCCAAGTGAATAGTTTCTTTACACAACTAGATGGGCCGCGGCCCATAGCCTGATGGGCCGAGGCCCAATTCGATGGGCCGTGGCCCCGACCTATGGGCCGCAGAGGAGTCACCACTCCCACTCATCAAAACTGTATTCAATATTGAAATTCAAATACCTGATTAATTTCAGACAACCCTGAATTCACCAACATACCTGAACACTTTTGACATAATTCAAACAGACATCGAGCATTGAAGTTAGGTTTTCGATTGCTTCTGTTACATGCTGGAACTCTGATGGTACGGTTACTACACCTGCTTTCTTTGTGCAACCCTGAAAAATTTTTTTATTATGTGAATGCTCTTCTTTTATTTATTTTAATGGCCTTGTTGGAAGAAGTGTCCTGGGATACCAACCTAATTTGATATTCTAGATTAGGGCTACTCAACTGGCGGACCGCGGTCCGAATCCGGACCTTCCGAGTATTGGATTTGGACCGCACCTAATTATTTATTTTGGATCATTAGCCCCACTTTTTGAATTTCCTATTATAAAATGACTTTCATAGTTTTGAATATATCTGATAAGAACTATAACACCATAATGAACGATTTTAATTTGCTACTAATCATTAGTCGGTTGAGGAAGTGCTCGTTTAAGGATGCCGAAATATCATTTCTGGAAAGGCGGGACCCAAATAATTTTGAAGTTTTGTTTGCGGATCTTCGACAAAAATAGTTGAGTAGCCCTGTTCTAGAACAGGGTTTCCCAAACTGGGGCTTTCCCAAATTGTGCAGCGAAACACATTAACGTTGTTTTGTTGTATCCTACTGTTCTAGAAACATTATCCTTCCTTGTTAGTTAAGCACAGAAATGTTACGGCATAGGAAGGGGGTACACGTCAAAACTAAGAGTCACAAATAGGGGTCCGTGACCCAAAAAGTTTGGGAAACCCTGTTCTAAAAAATAATATATTTTGTAATTAACTATGCATTTATATCATAGCGAGAGCATAATGAGGGATTCATAAGCTGCCGCACAGAAATGAAAATTAATTTCATAAACATTTACTAGTTTTTTTTGACAAATTATCAAATAAAATTTTATTGTGGAGATCATATCATTATATCAGAGAGTGAGGGAAAAGACAATAAAGCACTTTAATCAAAGTTGAGGTGTTTTCAAGTCCTGTGTCCAACATAATCTGATATGTTTCTAAAAATGATAATATATTGAGCTCATGAAGTATGCATACCAAGATGAGGGACACCAGAACGTAGTGTGTGTACCAGGTTAGGGTTAGGCCATAATTTTAGGTACAAATACTACGGGAGTCACTTGAAATCGTAATAGAACTAAAATAGGGAGAACCGGAACAAAATTATGGCCTAACCCTAACCTGGTACAGAAACTACATTCTGGTGACCGCCAGATTGGTACGCATACTTCAGAAATACCGATATTTTTACATAAGGGGTTGTAAGGGCTTGTATCTTGCTTTGAACCAAATTGTATAAATAAAGATCCTCTGAAGACATTAATCTCGCCTGGTGAGTACTAATTAGGGTCTTGCAATTTCAGTAAGTTGATTATTGCAGATGCGTAGATCTGGGTGGTGAAAGAAGTCATAAATACTTACAGTTTGAATTCTGTCGACTCCGACTCTTTCTGCATCGTATTGAAGTAATTTCACATCAACGGGTGTGAACATCATTCCTTGGGTTTTGCCTGGCACTCCAATGGGTGAGCTTGTGTAAAAAGAAAAGATATATATAGTATTGTATTCCAGGATCACTTAAACTGGCACCTAATTGATATAAAATTGTGTTCAACCTTGATCATACTTTTAGATTTAAGCCAGGGTGGTCCAAGGTTGTCAACTCCGAGGGCCACAAAATTATTTTAGCATTATTCGCGGGCCACAAATAGTGCCAAGAATAGGTAAACAGTGCAATACAAAACAAACACTTTAATAATTGTGCAAACACATTGGTCAGTATTTGTCTTTTGTCAAGCTAAAACATGCAAAAACCACCAAAAAAACCTGCATAAGTCTTTTTATATCTACATTTAGTGTAAGATTTCGACGGAAAATGGTACTCCTGTAGTATGTGAATCAAGATGGCGGACACAGGAACGTAGTTTGTGTAACAGGTTGGGGTCAGACCATAATTTCACGAACAAATAGCTAGACCCAGAAATAGTAATATAAATAAAATAAGGAAAATTGGAATAAAATTATGGCCCAACCCTAACCTGGTAGGCTGGTACACATACCACGTTCCGTTGTCCGCTTATATTGTGACGCATACTACAGGTGTACCGGAAAAAAGTGCCATAACACTAGTCACATCAGTGATGTAACAATATGTTAAAAGATTTTTCTGGTTAACTTTATGACAAAACAACACCAAATGCGATTTTTTGATTACACTTCGATTCCGGCGCAGGCCACAGATAATGCAGCGGCCGGCCACATGTGGCCCGCGGGCCTGAGTTTGGACCACCCTGATTTAAACAGCCTAAAAGTCTCGTCAATCAGCTTTTACTAACCTATAATGAATAAATCCATATAGTTTCAGACTTACAGGTAGCTCAAGGCAATTCAGTGAAAGTCGGTAACTTCACTCAGAACCAAATCTTTTTTACCTCTGAGTAGGAGTGTATTATTACCTTGCCTTGAAATAATTCTCATGAAATTTTTTTTATTACTCCTTACTCCCCACCTTATGTATGCTTTGAATCCAAGTTCTCCGTTAGTCAGTGTTGTATCAACAGTGAGATGAACTGGCATTTTATTCTTACTTTCCTTTGTATAATACTCGTGGATAAGTACGGAGTGTTCGGTAATGTCATGCCCAGTCGCGTACCTGGTGAAGAATAAATAGAAGTGTTTATTGATAGAAATGTTATTATTATTGGTATCATGCACCGCAGTGTTCACTATTAGCGCACTTTTTTGAGAATAGTGCGGGACACCTTCGCAGTTATTTTTAAGAGACTGCAAAATCGTCATTTTTATCGCGTCTGTCGTCTTACCAGATGCCCGTTGAAAAAAAAATTTTATTTTCATGTTATATAAATATTCTTGGACATCCTTGAAATCTGAGAAGTGTGAACAAACCAAATGTGGAAAACTGTTCTTACCATCCAACGATCACTTCATTTGTATTGACCTTCCTATGAAGGTCGTACATATTCTTGGCGTACTCCATGTCAAATGCGACTTCATCGTCTGATTCTGTGTGAGGAACGCAGAAAGCATTCGTGACTGTCACTGCGTTTGCATCAACAGTACCTGGAAGAAGTTAGGATGAGATTTGATGAGCTCATGTCATGACATATTTTTCTCCCACAAGATTTAACCTAGACATAGGGCAAGGGTAGCGAACCTTTTTCAATGAATAGGTCAAAAATTATATTTTGATCGCGGAACAGAAGAGAGTGGGTCACAGATATTTAAGCAATGTTTGTATCTATAAGAAACTCCTGACACTAAGCTTATGTTGGTGTTGGTGAAGTTTTGGGCTTTACTTATGCAGCACTTCTATCAGGGACTTTTTATGGCACTCGATTTTATGAAATTAGAGTACGAAAACACGCATATGAATTACCAAAAACAAGATATTGTATGTACAAGATTAGGGGTTTGGAAAATTACCAGACCGACCCGAACATTAACAATTTGAATATGAGCGATCGCAGCCCTGACTGCCCAACTGACGGTACATTATAATAGTTTAATTATTGTTGGAATAATTGAAAGCCAGTTTCATCAACTTTTATCACTGATATGTTAGCATTTATTTTATTTTATTCGTTCCTTGGCGGGTCAAGAATAAAACGCGGAGGGTCACTTTGTCACCCGCGGGTCAGTGGTCCGCCATCCCTGACATAGAAGAATCAGCAATGTGATAGGAAATGAGAGCAACATAAAATGCTACTGTCAGTAAAGTCATTTCCTCTACCAATATTTTTATATTTTGATTCTGTAGGATTCAAGGTTTTCTTTTTCCAACCTTAATAATTCTGTTCGTTTCTGTTTTGTTTTTATCAATTATTTCTTCGTTTTGTATGCTGATTATGGGGTCAAAATAAAGTTAAAATATTCACGATACGAGTGAAAAACGAAATATGAATACTTAAACAGTATAATCGAATTGACGAAGAAGCCATTTGAATTATTCATAAAAATTAATTGAAGCAATTAAAATAAAAATATTTAAAATTGAAAAGTTAAAAGGAGCTCTCCAAATCTCTGCTTGTCCAGAGCCTTGTTTATAGGTTGATTCCCTTTTGAAATACTCATGATTGCACAAGAACAAAATCAAATTTGCAGAAAAAAAGCACAAATGAATATTACTAATGAATTAATATTGTCACATAACTATATTACAATTAAAAATCGCCAATACAATATTCTTACCTAGAAGTGTTCCCACTACTCTTTTTGCATCTTCTTTCCTCCTTTCGAAACTGTCAATAATGGTGAATAAAACCACAGGGTGAACGCAGACCCGCCGATTTTCCGACATTTTTATAATATTATAATGTACTAAGAGTTATCTGATGGAAAATATGTAAATTAGCACAATAGTAAAATCTTTTAAAATCATAAATAGATAAGATTTGTAAGATTTAACAGGTATTTTTCGAATACTCGAGGCGTGAACTCAAAAACTTGGGATTCGGCTTGTAACTGTATGAAAGTGAATTACTCAGGAAATTATCGGTTGTGGTTCCGTGTCCAACTATACAAAAATCATTTATCTCCAGCTATTGAAAAAATTATATAAAGATAAAACAAACAGATAAATATATTTATTATAATTTTATCTATATTTTTAAATAGGTAATTCATAACGTACCCTCAAAATTACATCACGAAACATGACGTATATAGCAAAATGATACGACTGAGTGACTCTTACCATTGCACGTGTGTTGTTCACGCTGGTCTCTTGGCTGCATTTGCGCTGTTAAAGTTTCGTTAGCTCCTGGTTTGCATTCGCGTTGTGACTTACTGAACTTTATCAAGGATTTTGTGCTATCTTCTAAATGGGGAGACCTGGTGAGTTATTTGATGTGTTAAATATAAATATAATATTTTGTATATTAATTATGATTTCCTAATACTTTTATGATATTTTCATAATTTGAAGGTAAACCTTACGGTTTTGTTAGCGCTCCTGATCCTGCGATCAGTTTTATTTATTTTTATCAATCTTTTTTACGCCACTTATGCTCATTATGCAGTCGATATAAACTAATGCGGTACTGTACAGCAGTGATGTGTTGTTTGTTTAAGTACGGTAAGCATAATACTGTAATAGAGTAACATCTGAACATTATGTGTCACAAAAATATTTGATAGGTGTCCCGTTGTTATTTATGCTGATATGATTAAATCGTCTTATTCCTTTCCTCTCTCTAGGTAAATATGTAAATCCTATCCTTATCAAAAGTACGTTGGATCTTTCAATTCCATTTTGTGCTTCTAAGATTCTCGGGTTCATCTCATATTTATTGTTTAAAACTTTCTTTTATTCATTTTTTTCAGGTTTTTCACCAAGAGGTGGCGGTAGAGGGGGTTTTAGAGGAGGAGGAAGAGGGGGCGGCAGAGGCGGATTCGGTGGCAGAGGTGGTGGTGGGCGTGGTGGATTTGGCGGAGGTGGGCGTGGCGGATTTGGTGGCCGAGGCGGGGGTAGAGGAGGACCCCGTGGTGAGTTGGACCTACTTTTTATCAATGTTATTTTTACAGGAATTTGGCATCTAGTGAAGTAAACGCCGCAACTGCTCAAATAACTCCAAACAAAAATGTGGTGTGAAATTTTAATGTAATTAACATTAAAGTCTGGAATTTCTAACGTGAAAGTGCTTGTACTGCTGTTCTCTAGTTGCAAATCATAAAGAAGTCATTATTGCAGCATTTGCTTGATTTAATTTTTCTGTTTTTGCCATGTGATGACATTTTCTGTGATATTACATTGAAGTTGACTTTTTTCATTGCAGGTCGTGGTGGTCGAGGTGGAGGAGGGTTCAGAGGTGGAAGGTCAACAGTCGTTGAACCCCATAAGCATCCAGGAATATTCGTAGCTAGAGGAAAAGATGACGCTTTGTTGACGAAAAATCTTGTTCCCGGGAACACCGTCTATGGAGAAAAGAAAGTGGAAGTTGAGGTTCGGGAAATTGAATGTTTTTTTTATGAATATCAGGAAGTTAGGAGTACTATGGTGTTTCGCAGTTAAAAAAAAATTGCGAAGATGCTTTGGTCGATTTTAAAGAGGTGATTTTATCATGGGGAAGCCAATAGGTTGATTTAATTATGAGAAAAACCATATCTTTTCAGCTCAAGTCAGGTATGAAAATAGCTCACTGGTTAGTCACTCAAAATACACTACCATGGTGTGTTCTGGATGTTAATACAAGCAGTTTTCAATGTAATTCAATGAAATGTTAATACTAGGTTTTTCTCATTAAAACAAGACCCACAAAAATATCTATAAAATAACTTCCGAACTACCTTGCTTCCGAATACAAGTAACTGGCTAAATAATTCCATACTCAACATAGACCGGTAACCGGACAAGAGGCCCTGGTTTGGCAGATGATTAAGCCGTCTTATCGGCTTTTCTCTTTCCTGGGATAAATATGTAAATCCAATTAACTGGAGTGTGCAAACATGTTAATTCGTTTGGATGAAGGACCATGGAAGTGTCAGTGAAGAGTGTCTATACTCTGTACTATAAAGTCCCTTTACAATTTCAATTTTGTTAGAAAGTCAGTTCTCAATTCAATTTAACACACCTGTCAGTGCCAAAACAATATATGGCATCGATAAATTCCCTTCGCAGTTTTAAAAAAAGGCTGTATTGACACCCTGTATATCACTTTCTTGTTTTTTTATGGAAAAACGATATTCACTCAACTTCAACTATATAATTACAGAATGATGGCATAAAGATTGAATACAGAGCGTGGAATCCATATCGGTCAAAACTTGCTGCAGCAGTTCTAGGAGGAATCGGCCACATTCACATGAAACCAGGATGCAAGGTCCTTTATTTAGGAGCAGCATCAGGAACAACAGTATCTCATGTGTCTGATATTGTAGGACCAGTAAGTTGGGATTTGTTATTAGGCTACCCGCTGCTTGTCAGCAGGGAACCTATTGTATTCCTGTGTTTTATTAGGCTTCCCGCTGCTCGTCAACAGGGAACCTATTGTATTCCTGTGTTTTATTATTATTATTATTTATTTATTATTATTATTTTTTCAAATTGGTCCTACAAACTTGAAATTCACCTCAAATGTGCAGAAGTTCTCAGCTAGCAATAAAATGCAATTTTTTTTTTACGCGGGAAGCCTGTTAAAGCTGCACGCAGCTCTAGTTTTAAGAGAGTTTGCTTGAAGTTGGGTAATGTGCCCTCTTTAAGGAGCTTAATTCTGAGCAAAGTTATGGACAACCAATGTAATGCAAAAACCTATTGAAACTATATAAAGTTACAGGACAACATCTCATGTGTCTGATATTGTGGGACCGGTATGGTAAACATATTTATTTAATTAAATATCATTTATAATTTGAACAAAATGAACTCACTATAAAGTGCCTGAAAATTGGGAATTGACGACACTTCAAGCACTTCTAGTTTGGTATATTAGAGTTATAAATAGAATGGTTGCCACTGGTATATAAAGAGCGTCTGTGTTTTTTAACCTAATGATCTCGGGTGTCCCTGGGTCACTTTGACACCCCTCTATAATTTTTTTAATATTTCACCAACAAAAAATGCCAAAAACATCATTAATGTGTCCTTAAAAAGCTTATTTTCGTCGCTTTCCACAAAAGCTTTGAAATACTCATACAAATAAAATTGACCTTGTTGCAAAATAAAAATTATACATAAAAAAAAAATATGATGACATCACCGTAATTAAGAACACTCGGATCAAGCATGGATAATTTAAACTCAAACATTTTGAGTTTTGAAATTGGTTTTGTTCACATGCAGACCACTATGAAATACTATTGACCCCCCAAAATAGATTTAATTTAGCCATAATCCCAAATTATGACACAGATTAGCCATTTATGAGCGGGCCGATTCTCTAGGGTAAAAACCCCCAAAATTCCATTTCTTTTCACAGGAAGGTCTTGTATATGCAGTTGAATTCTCTCACAGATCGGGTCGAGATTTATTGAATGTTGCAAAGAAACGAACGAATATCATTCCCATCATTGAAGACGCCAGACATCCTCACAAGTACAGAATGCTTGTCGGTATGTAACTTGCAAATATTTCAGTATCTGAAGGGATCGAAGTGAAAATAAATATTTCCCCAGCCTTTAGAAATGTTTAATTCAGAACATTTGATACGACACTCTGTGGTTCCCCTTTTCGTACTCACACAAAATTTGAAAACTTTGATCTTTTGTAGTTTGATGGAAATTTTAGGTCAACTTAAATAATATCTTTTCATTTATTGAAAATTTTAATATGTTCACTTTGGAAATAAGAAGAAAATTGAACTCTCATTTCAATATCTTGTCACTATGTCCGAGTGGTGAGAGGGGAGTTTAAAATTGTTTTCACTACCAAAAATGCTAACTTCGACTCCATGCTAAATATCTATACAGATATACTAAATTTATATTTCATTTCAGACATGGTGGACACAATATTTGCTGATGTTGCACAACCTGACCAAACAAGAATCGTAGCGTTGAATGCTCATCATTTTCTAAAGAACGGCGGACATTTTGTAATTTCTATAAAGGTGAATATTTGGTTCATTTTCTCAATTTTTTTTTTATGATGGAGACTGCTAGACCAGACAATGTCACAGGTTAAAAATTTCAGTTTCAAACTCCACACCTACCACACGGAGCACAATAACTCATGTAGGCATGTCGAACCAAAAAGTTTCGGGCCCCTACAGAAGTAGTAGTTCCTTGTGTATCAATGGACCTTTCCCCGAGCATCGACTTCCTTGTTTACCTCATGACATTGGCCAATCAGCAAGATGCAAAAGTGACATAACAATGCCCCCATTTCGCATCCGCTCAGACACTTTTCTCACTAAGACAGATTTTCAGGTGTGGTTGTAAACATTACCTCGTTTTCGCGTTTTTGGACTCTATCTGTTAGTTTTCAGTTGTGCTTCGTAAATTCAAATATAAATCAGATAATTCAATGATCACTCTGTCTTCCTAGGAGTTTTAATTTAATTGCAGTAATAAAATATTAGTGTAGAAATAGCTGTGATAGACTAGCCTGAAATTCTTTACCGGTACTTTTATAAGACAGATTGTTGTATGCGATGAATCATAATAATGGTTTGAAACACATTCCCCATTCTACAGGAGCCAACTCGCGAAACCACTTTTAAAATAAGCCCTGAACATTTTGCATTTTCCGGGGGTCAAAGGTCGGGGAAAGGTCCATAGCTGCTTTTCCAGCCTTATGTACAATGTTTGTGGGGGCGATGACCTAGTACAGGGGTGTGCACCTGCAACCCAGGGGCTAAATACAGCCCACAAAGAAAAATTGTGCGCCCTGCGGAGAAGTGCAAATTTTGAACGGTGTTCGGCCCAAATACTGGGAAGCCTATGTTAAAATAGGTGTATCAGTGGCGGCTTATTTACAGAAGCCTTATACAGAATGAAGTACTTCTAGTCTTTCCCTAGAAAACTTCATGCACAGAACATTAATTTTGTCATGAATCACACGTAAAAACATAAAGTTATTCGAAGACTCATTTGCTTTTATGGTTCTCACCAAAGGCACTTTCCAAATTGATCACTTGACCAGCAGAGTCTATCCTTTCTAAAAATGTCCCTATTTACAGGCCTCTTGTATTGACTCTACGGCAAAACCAGAAGCAGTTTTTGCTTCCGAGGTCAAGAAAATGAAGATGGAAAAAATGAAACCGAAAGAACAGCTAACCCTTGAACCCTACGAGAGAGATCACGCTGTCGTTGTTGGAATGTATCGTCCACCAGCGAAAAAGGAAGAATGAGGGATTTTGAGACTTTATATGAGTTTAATGACACTGCCAAATCATGTGCCTCATTCCCATGGTGCATTTGTTGGGCGGCGTGTATCGTATTGGGGACTTTAAATAAATTTAACACTGCCAAATCGTGTGCCCGGCTTCTATGGTGCATTCGTTGGCCATTGAGGCGCGAATGGAAGACGCGTTCAACCAACTATTTTCAATATAGTTATAAATATACTGTTTCTGAATCTACCAAGTCTGAAATACTGAGAACATATGGGGTGTCCATAAAGTCTTAAATTTTTTCCAAATTGCAAATGGAATTTACCGATACCATACATTGTTTTGGCCCTCACAGATGTATCAAATGAAGTAAAAATACTCAAACGATTACTCATTAAAAAACAACAAACCTGGTTAAGGTATAATGAGAACTGAATTCAAAAAACAGAACTGAAATTGTAGTAACTTCATGAACGCCCTGCCCAGTACTTTAAAAAAATACACACAGGGCAGTGTTTTTCCAGTTGCCTTGGATTTTTAATTTCCACCCTTCTAACTTCTCTCATTGCGAGGTACAAAATACAAACTTTTTTGTCAGCCAAATAGTAGCTGTCAATGTGCTTTCAGCCCGTTGTGTCATCTGTATTTGACAGACCAATTATATTGTATGTATGACCGGGGTCTCAAACATTTTTTTTTTTAGGTCTGACCCCCCCACCCCCCCTTCAGAATGTGAAAAAAAGCATTCTTCGGTATGATACATAGCAATTTTCCTTAGCTTTGACACCTAGGACTCTGGCTGTTACAGTCTAACTTGCTAATTATAAATTCCCGTTGCAGGTTTTTGGATTCAATTCGAAGTATTCTAGAATAGTAAACTATTCTGAATTACCCATATCTACATGACACAATTATTTCCTATATTTGATTTGTTATGGACATCCCTTGAAATGGTCCTCTGTCACACATAATATCAATCCATCATGATTTCTTCTGTACTTGGTATTTAGTTGGTGTGGTTTTTTAAATGCTGCTTTTGTATCAGCATTTTATCTTTCTAATACAATGATAATAATGGAAAAACAGGAAGGTGTGAGTTTTCTGCAAAGGCTGGTGAAGGTAGCTTAATCGTGTGCAACAGCTATTGACATTTTGATACTTCAGAAGTATGTGAACCAAGATGGCCTTTTAGCACTTGTGAACTCCCTGTTTATCATTACAGTGGTATTTATATTGTTATTTCGATTTGTAGTTTACAAATCCCATTAGGTTCAAACGCTTTATGCTCAACAAAGTGAAAACCCCCTTTGAAATAACCTTATCAAGCAATAAAACTAGGAAGAATTGTAAAGTGAAATTAGTTTTGCACCTAGCATTGTGGTTCCCTCCGACTGCTTTGTGGCCAATTTGGAGGCCACTGGCTCCTGCTTGGAAACCGCTGTGTCAAAGCCTTCTTTTCTACCATCTCTCCTTAAGCCAACAATGCCTATGTTTGCTTCTGGTTCTTTCAGTAATCCCCATGTATAAGGCAGACGATTTTTACTGATTCAACAATAACTAATTTAATATATTAAAATCCAGTTTATTTACCCTTTTTCACGAGCTCTCAACCAGTCAGCCAGTTATGTCATTTTCAGGTGAGCTACAAACATTAAAAATTTGCTAGAGTTATTGATTGAAAATGTAGTTCAATTTGATTGTAGTAGGAATGGATGATAATGATGATTTTTTTGCTAACTATTCAAGAGAAAATGTGCATTTTGCAAAAAGTTAATGAATGGGCCACCAAATTTTTATGCAATGATAATGAGCAATGAAAGAAAAATAGATGAGAACCACTGCCCTAGTCGTTTGTCAAGTCCCCTCTTCTGAAGTCCCAGCTACTCTTTATTGTTCTCTATAGCAGGGGTTCACGAGAAGATTTCCAGGGGTACTTGGATGACAGTCGAGTTTTTGTGTGGTGATCTTTTTTAATATCCTTTATCACTATCATGGGAAAACGAGTGCAGATTGAAACTAGACGCCAATCGAAACGTAGATTTTACATGATCTAGCGTTGTTGTGATTGTGGTGCAACAATGTGAAATTCGAGGCTTTGCGTACAAACTGTGAAATCTCTAAAGACAGCGTGCTGCGAGCATTTGAGAAGTGATTATGCTTAAGGATTTATTAGTTAGGCAGATGACAAGGGCAATAATATCAACAAGACGATTTAATTTAGTTACATATGGTCAATAAATTGGTGTTGCAACAAATTGATAGTCAATATATCACAACTTTGTTCAGTGTCTGATTACCGGGGGTTCGCATTGATTGTTTCGTGACTCGGGGGTACTTGACAGAAAAAAAGTTGAGAATCCTTGCTCTATAGGCTTCTACAATAAAAACAGTCCTAATTGATTTAATAATTTTAATCTTCAATAATATATTGCAAATGACGATAAAATAAATGACAACAAGTAACAAAGCACACTGGAATCAATATAGCAATAATCAAGATACACAGACAGAATAAAATATATTCAATTCTAATGCAGTTTATTCTGCAATATTTTGAGGCAAAATTAAGCAGCAGGTAAACTTGCTTAATTCGGGAGAGATTCCTCAGAGAAACCTCACATATTAGATCATCCTTTTATTCATTTTTGACGCTCCAGAAATATGTGTGCCAATATGGAGGTAACTAATTTTGTTCGCCTTATGTTCAAATTCTGTAAGTGGACTGAAATCTATGGGCAGGGGGTACATTCACTTGGCTAACAAAGACAGTCCCCAACTCGTAATAGAACTAAAATAGGGAAAATTGGAAAAAATTATGCCCTAACCTGGTACACACACTACGAGAGCACCTCATTTTCGAACTATATAGGAATAAAAGTCCAAATTTTGAACTTTTGAGTCAGGTTCTTTCAGAGTTAAAAAACTCAATGACATGAATTTTGCATTTTTTTCAAAATTTGCATTTCAAGAGATGAGTTTCCTTTGTTTCTAAATGACAGTGTGTGACATCGCTTTATTAAACCCAATTTATAATCAAAATCTCAAAAAATCGAAATGTCAAACCCAAAAAGCAGAGACAAAATTTCCCATCACACTTAAGTTTCAAATGGTTTGTAGTTTCATGCTAAGCCCTAGGTGCTTATATAAAAATAATAACATTAGCGGAACCAGTGCTTCATGTTATCTAAAGTATGATTAAGTATTCTCTACTAATTGTAGGCGAACTTTGGATTAATCGAACTTCCGAAAAAAAAAATTTATTTCAACAGGGCCAATATTGAGGTCAGGATCACCTGACCAACTCAGAATTATTTTATTAAACACTAATGCACCCATAGAAAATTCGTCCATGGAAATATCTGTCATGTCCCCTTTCCTTTGTTGCCCTAAAATGTGCTTATTTTGCTTAATGGTTAATCCAGCCCTGGTCCCATGCAATCCACAGCGTTGCATGTTTCAATTAACAAAATAATGCAAACTGGCACACTGTGGTCGACATTATAGTACAAATAGTCCCATGAAAATATCAGTATCATAAAAAATATGAAACGGTACGCGTAGCAGTGATTCTCAACCTTTTGTGGCTGGCCCCCTTCCAAAGGATTTTAGCACTCATGCCTCACTGTTCATCATTCCATTGGCATTTTGGTAGATTCCAAATTCCATTATGTTTAAACAATTCATGATTAACGAAGTGAAAACACCCTGTGAAATATCTTTATCAAGCAATGAAACTAGAAATAATGGGGACTAAGTAAAATGGTGTTTGCGCCTAGCATTGCGGGCCTGGTTGAGAACTTCTGTACGCGTAGAATTTTATGATTCATGTCTAGATATACATAGGACAGGGTGGTCCAAACCCAGGCCCGCGGGCCACATGTGGCCCGCCGCTTCATTATCTGTGGCCCGCGTCACATTCCGGGAGTAATCAAAAAATCCCATTTCGTGTTGTTTCGTCATAAAATTAATCAGAAAAATCTTTTGACATATTGTCATCACTATTGTCACTGAATTAAATAGTGTTATGGCTAGCTGGGGAAACTAGCGAAGTTGAATGATGTGCTTGGCAGTCTAAATTGTTATCTGGTTTTCTAACTTTTTGGTCGGGAATATATGCTAACAATATAGGCATCGTAGAAAACTCAAAATCAAATGCGGAATCTATTAGCCTAGAATGCCTAAGCCTGATACCTATGTGATTGTACAATAAAAGTGTTTGTTTTGTATCGCACTGTTCAACTATTCTTGGCACTATTGTGGCCCGTGAACAATGCAAAAATATTTATGTGGCCCGCGGAGCCGACAACCTTGGACCACCCTGATATAGGATATAATATGATCATGATAAATAAATAGTTAAGAATGAACGACTTTGCTGAAGTTGCAGTGAAAATTGGTTTGGCTTAGTCTTACAGTAAGCAAAGAAGTCTAAACCAAGATAGTTTTCTATCTTGGATACATTTGGAAAAAGATGTCTTTGCATACTGAATATGAAGTACCGTATATGCTCGTTTTACCGCCCGATCTTGATTAAGAGCCCGTTTAAATAGCCGCCCGTGTGAACAGAACATAAAAATAAATAAGGGCTGGTGCTAGAATACCCGCCCGATGTAAAAGCAGATTTTTCAGTGGTAGAGAACAATAGGAATTATGAAGCGCTTTTGTCACTACGCTGTTGAATTTTAAGCGTCGGTAGATAACGCTCACGCCTTAAGCGTCCAAGTACATAACAGATAGCATTGATTACGTAACACCATGGTTCTCAAACTGGGCGTTACGACAAGTGCGTCGTTTCAATATTAATAGAGCGTCGCAAAACTTTTCTTCTTTTGCGGATTTGTACCTGCAGTGCGTAGAAAAAGTCAAAATTTTCGTTATTCTCGTTTAAATAGTACTTGAGAACTGGAAATAACAATATATTAATTATTGGAACGATCGAAAATGACAAGCGCCCGTGCTTGAATAAGGGCCGGTTTGAATAAGGGCCAGGTTAGTGAGTTGGTTGAAAAAATATGGGCCCGAGCTACAAAACGAGCAAATACGGTATGTTCTAAACTAGGCTATAGTTCTGACCCACTCCCTTTGGGTAGGCCTCTGCATAGTCTGAAGCCAGAGCTGATTAAGAATTTTGGATTTATTTCTCTCCAAACCTATTCGAATGAAAATATTATTCCTAGAATCAGTGGTTTATTATCGAATATAAATGATTTTTATTTTGTATATAAGAATATTTGATTCATTCCCCTATCCTAAGATCAAAAACCTGTGGGGACATTCCAACAGAAATTTCTAAATCATATTTTATGATTATTTCAAAATTGCAGATAAATAGAATAAAATTACGGCTTTTTAAACTCAATACGTTCGACTTTAACATCACTCCCGTGAAGTTGATAAACATACGTTACGACAGTATTAGACTGGATGTCCATAAGTACAAATGAAGGGGTAATATCACATGATAAAGGTGAATAAGCTCCTGTAATGCTCCCTGGATTTATGTAAAATTTCCCTTCATGCTCGTAGGCTTCGAATTTGTGGGTGTGGCCAAAGATTAGAATGTCAACGCCAAGCTGTCTTTGAACCATTGCTAGACTCTCCGTGTCTCCCCATGGGACAACTTGATGCCCGTGGCACATTCCGATCCTGAAATTAATAGGTCAAATTACATAAAAGCACAATTCTATAAAGCTCTTAAAAAGTAAATGATGTCCCGTGCCCGTCAGAGGACAGTCTTCCTTATTTCAGAGTAAGACTGCATGCAATGAGTCTTTGCCTACACAAGACATGGACTTGCGTGCGTTACACCATCGATCGGCAACGTTTTGTATGCGAGGATCGAATAATAAAATTGAAAGCCCAACAATTGCTTGAAAATTTTAAATTTAACCACGTAATAAACTTGTTATTAAGGGACATTTAAATTGTTTAGGTGGAATGAACGTAATGTATTACCGTTTAATATATCAACAAAAATCATTTTTCAAAAAATATGTAATGTTGGATCTATAGAACTTTTTTGTGAATCACTGCCAATCTGCCATAATTGAAATTTATTGGAGGCCCATAGTTTGCCGACCACTGTGCTCGAACTTCACCAACTCAGTCAAAAGTAATATAATATGCCATCAAACATGTTTCACCATTGTTGACGTCCTAGAATATAGATCTTGAGTTCGAGTCATAATCAGTCTAACTAAAACAATTCTGGTCCCTTGGGGCTTTTGTCCTATTTCAGGAAACATACAAAACACCATATTTACGTTTCACTACTGCAGTTAAGAGCTATATTTTAAAGTGGCTCAAAAGGAGTGAGGAAGGAGATGTAATTTTCGACAGACATGGCAGCAGACTCTCTACAAAGAAACAAACAAAAATATTTCTTACTTGAACTGTCCCACAGTAACAACTTTTTGTTCTGGGTAATTGACATTATCATCAAAATCTCCACGGACGACATGAACATCGCTTGCTAATGTCTTCAAATAATCAAACGAATCTGAAGATAAATTGATAAATGAACATCCTAGCGTTTTGATATTAATTTATTTTAAACTCCATCATAATTAAAAAGAGAATAACAGTACACAAACAGAAAATGAGGAACGCAAAATCTGCAAATAAGGTTTGAGCGTGCAACAAAACTACAATAGCTAGATAGCCGAAGACAGTTGTGCACCATGTACTTCTCACAAGTACAATAGAAGATTAAACTGATCCAAGAGAAGAAATACAAAAATAGGATGTATCAAAAAAAGTTGGAAAGTTTGTTTTTAAAAATAACAAGTCTGAAATTAAAATATATTGAATTAATCCTTAGATATAAATACAATAAAACAATACAATAAAATTGTATAGTATTGTATATAAAAATGATAGTACTGAATATAAACAATCTCAAATCATAGCCCAGAAATGGATCCAAGTATGAAAAGTAATGTAATCAAGCATACCTTTTGTGCATAAATTCCCAGTGCATAATATATGCTGAATCTTCCCTGGGACAAGAAGTTTCTTGAACTTTGGTGACAATCCCGAAGCTCTGTGTGGAATATGAATGTCTCCGACAACTAACACAAGAACCATTATTATTATAAATTATTTATTTATTTATAAACCTATGAAACAATAAAGAAACAACTGAGCGAAATATTTACTTTCCCATCAAGTCCATGTTTCCGAAAACAAATAACTAACTAATCCCATACCCGACATGGAATCATAACCGGACGAGAGGCCGTGGTTCGCCATATTATCGCCGCCTTTCCTCTCCCCCGGGATAAATATGTATATTATATTGTAGTTAACGTTTGCTCTCATCTTCCTAATAATGCAGAAGGATATAATACCAAGTAAAGCAGAGGCACCGTGACTCCAAAAATGTGCCACTCAACGACTCTAATAATTTAGTCAAGTTTTATAATATAAAAGTATGGTTATCCTTACATTTTGTTTTTTGTATTACACAAATTTTCAATATGCTCAATAAATTCCGGTAATTTGTATATTTCGTTATGTAGATATACATTGAATAAGTATATTTTTGAGATCATTGGTTGACGAACAATAAATCTCTCTCTTTCTCTCATGTGGATGTGGCATTACGTGCCTGCCTCAAAATATCAATCGCGTGCCACACAAGCTGATCGTGTTTTATATCCGCGGATTGGCAGCATGGAGTAGTGGCGACTTTGTGCAAAAAAACGCGTTTATTCCCCTGACAACTGCCCGACTTCAAAATGAAATTACATGCTTGAAGACTGCGCGAGGAATGCGTGCACTTGTTATTTTCGTGAAACTGCGCCCAATCTGTTGACAGTCAACCTGAGTTGCGAGAGAATATACTTTTCATTTTTGCTATTGTCGCGTTTATGTTGTTGTAGCTTTTGAGATAATAGATCACGGAGTATGCAATTGCGTTCATTCATATTTCGCAAAAATATTTATGGTACTCCCGAAGTATATGTATCAGGTTAAGGTTAGGCCATGATTTTATTCCGATTTTCTTTATTTCAGTTCTACTATGAGTTTGGGGAATTTCTGTGTTAGCCAAGTGAATATTCCGCTGCCCATATGTTTCAGTCCCTTTACACAACTTGATGTAAAATGGCCACCGTATTGGTAAGCATACTTGTGGAGCGCCATATTTATCTTCTCGTCTCGATCTTGCCGTTGCCCTTGTTTATATTGTCCATTTTTTGTGCTGTGCCATAAAATGAACGAAAGAATTAGTTGGATGAAGCGATTGCATTTTTAATCTGTTTATTTCACGTGATGTATACGTCTCGTGTAATCAAAAATTAATGTGGCCATTCTGCATATTAAATTACGTTTAAAGGTAAACGCTTGAATGTTTTAATTATTTCAAAATTGACTCGACGCCTTGCCGTGACTTCTGTTCTTTACGTTCGACTGACCTAAATTTACTTTTAAATTGTGTTTATCGGCCGTAAATAAAACTGAATTGGACTTGAAAAGCGATCGATGAATTCGATCGATAAATGTCATTTTCTCTCTCGCAACTGTGTTTATTGCGACCATTGCATTACGTATGTGAATTTGCGAAAGACGAAACTTAGGACTAGAACAGTTTGTTAAAGCAGCGTGCACTAAAGCACGGTACTTCTTCTGTACCAGTAGGTAGATTTTAGGTGATTTTTGGCCGTGGTTAATTATTGCTGCTATATTTTAGAATTTGTGTCAGCGGATCTGTATGCGCTGCAATGATATTGTAACAAAAAAAAATCCAAACAGATAGGTTTATTTCGATTCCATAATCAGCATAAAAAGCGATAAAATAATTGATAGAAAACAAAATAAATGAAATTGATCGTAGAATCGGGAGAGCAAACAAGACTTCAAGTAAGGTTTTAGACGGAAAGGTATTGAGTGAGATACATCGACTGCACCTCATTCTACTACTCCGTTTTCTTTGCATTTGTGTTAGTGAACCGTTTTTACAGACTTCAAGGATACTATAGCAAGAACCATATTACCTAACATATCATGTGGTTAAAAGGTCTTGCATTTACAATTACATAAATTTTATTAGACAAGCAGTTTACAACAATAGGGAATACGGCGGTAGACGTTATTTCAACTACACGAAACTACTGTAGAAGCGAGGATAGCAGCGAGTAGTCTATAATGGAATATTCACTTGTATAGTTTTGTTACGTATATACGTGTTCTATATTCTATGGGATTGTTATTTTTTTTCTCTTCTAATTGGAGTAAATGAAGAGATATTTTATGTATTCACGAGTTAGCGCCGACCCGGGAAATTACGCACCTATTACGGTGTGTTCTCATAGATTAGGGACTTGGAAATAAAGGGAACGAAAACCGAACGCGAAAATACTTTGAAGAAAATTAAAATGTTACAATGAAGGACGGAGCGGTCCTCGACGCAGTTAGTTTCTATGCTGTTCAGTTCTAGGTGACAGTAGGGCCATAAAACACATTTTGGTATAGATAAATGGACTGGGTGAGCAATTTGATCAATGCACTTGTTGTATACTATTAGTTTGCAAGCTTGGAAAGTTTAGAAATGTATGAGATTCTCCGAACCCTGTCAACTGAATTAATAACAGATGGCCACTCGTTATTAGACCAGAGCCGATTACCGTCGTGATTGAGAGGCGGAAAATAATAAAAGTATTGTCATCGAAGATTATGAAACACACTCTCGTTTATTTGAGTTACGAAAATTGACGGCAATATAAAACGGCAAAATCGTAGATCAAGACTTAATAGGCTAAATACTAGATAACGATAAGATGTTCAGTCATTAGAATTACTTCAAGGACGTTAGACGTAAAACTTGCGCTCGCAAATGTCTGGTCGAAAATCAGACGGCCGATCGGCAACCTACGACGATGGATCGCGCCTGGAATTACGTGACATTTGCGATGTTATTTGAGTTCGTTTTCTATAATAAAATATGATTTTATACCATCGATGTGAATACGAGTCAACTAGTTGGCAAAGTCTTATATTCGGAAGTACAGAAAAATGAGGCACCGGTCATATTACTGTATCAATTTGCTAACAAATTCCAGAAGTACATATTTTGTTATAGAATACGTCCTCATAGCGGGTAGAAGCATTTGAACATCTGACGCGTAATATCATAGTCCTGATGCACAAAATTACGCCAGTTACAAGCACTATTAAAAAATAACAATGCATGTGTCGGCGTATTATGTGAAGAGCGTACATGTATTTTTTTGGCATATTATTTTGACTTCTGTTTCGGTGGAGTTGTATAGAATTTTATTATAAGTAATGCAATATGAACGATCATAGTTCAAACTGTAAACTATCATCGCCATGGTTACAGAAAGTAATTAAGTCTATTTAAGAAAAATCAAAAATCATAAGCATGGTATAAATTCGTTCGTCGTCGCCGCGCGATTTATTTAGACAAGTATATGTCAATTTCACTAATTTTTTTAGCAGTTTTTTTTTGGGTGCTTTGTTTGCTGTATAGTTTATTACTGGTGTGTATCCATGAAGAAGGGTTTGAATAATGATAGGCTAATTTTGTTTAGTTAATTGAATACGACGATTGCAGTACTTTGAGATGAATTGTTTTTAAGTCAATTTATGAAAAAAATTCTGAATTTTTATTAAAGTTTCGATTCTTCATATCTTTTGCGTCTTGGGGGGAATTTAGTAATTTTTTTTCATTATTTTTTACATCATTGTCAATTAAAAGGATTTTTTAAAATACTTTCTGACGGTATGGACTAGTATGAAATTCTCTTTCATATGACCCTATGAAAGGTGTGAGGGGGGCGGGAGTAGAATATTAAAATAGGCCCAACCGGCTAACACTAACATATACCAATGTACATGGAATAGAAGATACTGTATAATTGAATTTGACTATGCCATACATAATAAAATATATTTTCTAATTGACAGGAATTTTGTAGTTGTAATGCCTTTATAACATTGGGTTGTAGAAGATTTTATCTTGAAGGCGGAGCTTACCGGAACTGTCAATCATGAAGTCAATGGAGCATATCCTTATACTTGTTTTTGTAATCTTCATCTCAGGTAAAGGAATTATTTTGCTCTTCATTGCATTAAATGCCACTAATTTTTTTCAAGGTTTCTGTCCCCCCTGTGACTTCCCAAGCTCATTTTTAATTAAGTATTGCAGAGAACTGATTATATCCCTTAAAATATTATCCATTTGTTAACAAAAAAATAACGAAACAACGAAATAAACTAAAACTTAATTTACAGAAGTATTCATTTTGTAATAGAATACCGTCTAATAATGGAAAAAGCATACATAACCACCAATACCATCAAAAACTATACAAAAATTGATAAGTAGGACTCGAAAATATTCTGTCCAGATACGCTTCAATGACTCTTTATGGTGAACATTTGGGAATTCTACTGAAGTAGGTCAGGCCAGAATTCCCTCCATAACAAAACAACCCAATTTTTATCTAATATCATTTTAGTGGCTCCCTAGAGATTGGGATATTGATTTTTATAAATGAGGATAAATTGTTTTTGTGTTTCCCATATAAATCCAGCTGTCTTGTTTTGATGGAAAACTAAGATGTTTAAATTTATTTCGTTTGTTTTGTTTTTGTAAGGCTAAACAAAGAAACATATATTTATTCTGGCGAGAGAAAAGCCGATAACACGGCTTAATCATATGGTGAACCACGGCCTCTCGTCCGGTATTGTTATAAATTTGAACATTAGAAGCTTGGTATTATAGTCATCATACGTCTGAAAATTGTGTATGAAAAATAATTGTTCATCAGCGATCACAAATATAGGTCTGAACAAAGCTGTGGAGAAGTGACCACCAAAGAAATGTGGAAAGAAGACTCACAGATTCACAACAATTTATTAACCTTCTTGCCCTGCTTAAAAAGTTCTGCTCGCCATTTTTTGAACTCGTGTCTGCTTGTCTGGTCATTTTTTAGAGAGAAAATGTGAAGCACTTTATGAAAAAATATGTTTCTTCATTAATCACTATGAGGTGTTATGACAGTCATTTTTTAGGAAAACACTTTTGTTTATTTGAACGAAACATAGGTCTGAATTAGGCTTTAGACAAGGGACAGCAGGTTCAAAGTGTCACGGTAACAAAATGTTGCTACTATGGTTGTAGATGAATCAGAAGACGCAAAGATTCCGGATTTGTTGTTTATTGTACGGCAACTTCACAATTAAAACAGCATATAACACTGCATAAAACAGAGGATGCTTCAAAACGCAGCCGATCGCCAGCGCGGTAGCTGGAGTAAAAAATCGAAAGACAGTTTTTGCCTCACATGTAGTGAGTGGTCGGAGTCCAAGTGTGACAAAACAGCATTAAATAAGGGTCAACATAACAGTCTATAAACATAACTATATATATCATACACAATAAATAAACTTTAGTCCTCGACAAGAGGAAGATACCACTTTTGGAAGACAAATATCTTTTTGATTTTCATATTTTACCACATTGATTTATCAAAAATAAATCATGATATAACCAAAAGTATGGGGATAGGGGGCCGCTTGCAATGCCATTCAAATTCAATGCATTAACCAATAGACCAGGTCTCGGCAACCTACAGCCTGCTGGCCGGATCTGGCAATATAATATAATATGAGCATTATAATACGGCCCGCGACGCTTCATTGAATTATAGTAACAAATTATAGCTGTTTTGTCGATTATATTCTTTACGCAAAAGAATTTACGTGTAGACTAAATTATATTATAACGTAACGTAGGTATATAATTCACAATTACTCGTTTAATGAGCCTATAATTTGATTATAATTCAGACAAATGACAACAAAGCGCAGAAAAGTTGATGCTAAGTGCAAATGGTTTATTGGCGCAAAAAATATTCAAATGTTCAGTCTTCGTGCGCTGCTTAGAATTTAACTTCTGATCTGTGTGATAGAATGTGATTCATCGGTCATCCATTCGATTTTTAACATTCTAAAAATATGTGCGGCCTGCCAATGACTTGCAACCTTTAATTTTGGCCCACGAGCGACAAAAGTTTGCCGACCCCTGCAACAGACCATCATGCCCACAATTTCATGTACCTAAGCGATAATACATGAACTGTCAAAAATCTATTTTTGAATGTTATAAATCCAAAGCAAGGCATCAAAGATGCAGCTTAGGCCCCTAAATCATGTCTAATCCCATTATTATGCTTCAATCTCTCTCTCAGGGGATCAGGACACTTAAACAATTATTGATTTCTTTGTGGCCACATCAGACTGTAGGTTCCCGATTGAATAATTCTTAACGGGCATTTTTGATTGATTTTATCTTTGCTCTAATCTGACATCAAACAGCCAGAATTACTTCCAGTATCTGTATATGCTTTTGTTCCGCTTTTATTGATAAGGTGATAAGTGCTACAGCTATATTTTAATTTGCTTTGAAACCTCTGTAGCAAATTTTTTTTATCAGCGTTAATAAGGCCTTAATCTTCAAATCTATCTGAAGGTATTTAATGTAAAGGGCTTGAAGGATAGCTCCGAAGTCGCCAAACTTAACTGTGTTAATAAACTTAACTATATTTGCAGCTCGGGTTGCACAGCTCGGGTTCAAATCTTATGCTCCCACTTCACCGAGAGTGTAATAAATTGGGTAAGAAATGCCGAATCAGTAAGATCACGGTCGTTTTGAATAATTGTTTCCTCTTGATATATCATTGGTAATCAGTAGTTGCTTGCATGGGGCGTTGTTTGAAGCAAAAAGTTGGAATGAACGCTGTATAAAAAATACTAAATAAATCAATTTCAGACAGACCATTCGATCCCTACATTTAGGGCTGTGAAGTGGGCGTTGTTATTTTCAAACTTTGTGAAGCAGGGGGATCCTACACGCAAACTCTCTTGATTTTATGGAACGTTATGCGTTATCCTCTGAACAAGGATAATTATAGACAAGCAGGCACTCCTCTTTTTTATCATATGTTTTCACTCAGAACAGAGCTCTGGGCAAGTGTTACGTAATTGGGTACTAAATTTTTGAATGGCCATGTGGATAAGAATTTTTGGGGCTCCAGAACTATGCGCACCAAGATGTCGCACAGCCTGAATCCTAACCGGTACACACATACTATGTTCAGGTTACACGCCATCTTGGTGCGCATACTTCTGGTGGTCCGAATTTTTGTTATGTTCGACCTGTTAAGGTACTGGACTCAAAGTGTGTTGATGTCCCGGATTACACATCCATTTAATTCCTTGTCCACCACTTTACTCAGGGTGTAATAAACTGGTAGGCAATGCCAAAACACAAAATATTCTTGTTCTTCAAAAAGTAATTGGTCCTCGCATAAGAAGTGTGTGTACCAATATGGAGGTAACTAATTTTGTTCGCCTTATAGTTTACATCAAAGGGACTGAAACCTATGGGTAGGGGGTATATTTAATTGGTTAACACCCCCCTCCCCCGAACGCGTAGTAGAACTAAAATAAGGAAAATCGGAATAAAAGTATGGCCTAACCTTAACCTGGTACACACTCTATGGGAGTACTAGAGTGGCTACACGTACGGGGCATTGTTCAGATCAAAAAACACTGTTAATAGATTTTTCTCTGGATGGAGTGCCATGCATGGGAAATGCAACAAAAAAGCTGGAAACCATCGAATTAAACAGTAGGCCATTATGCCCACCGTTTCCTTTTTATTCACTGATACATAAGTAGCTAGCAGGTAAAGGACTAGACTTATCTGTGTCAGTATCAGAGTTGTACAGCTCTGATTCAAATTGAATGCTCACCTTACTCAAAGCGTAATGAACTGGGTAGGCAATGCTTAATGTTCCTATGGGGAATGTTGCGGTCCTTCCAAAAACAATTGCTTCTAAACTCTGTATGAGGTATGATTTGTGCATATAGCTACATATTGATCCTCTAATATTGAACAACAGACATAGTTTTTATTTATGGTGAGCGAGGAATGAAGAGTTTCAAAATCGACAAAAAAAAGGTTGAAAACCTGGGCATTAAAACGAATTAAACAGTAAGCCATTATGCCCACTGTTTCCTTTTTATTCCCACATTTAATTTCATTTATAATTACTTCCCAGACAAATCTTTTTATTTCCCTAAAAATCAATAAAATCCTATAATTAAATCTCCCTAATTGTAACATTCAAACTTAAATTAAAGAAATAAAATCCATTTTGTTTTAAATTAAATTTATTGATTGTTGCATAATAAGGTGGCTCAGGAATTCTTTTCTGTGCGAGAACAAAAATATGTCCTTGGTCACTCACTAATAAAAGTATTTTGTTTATGGGGTTCATTCATCTTATTAATGCCTTTACCATTTAGTGGGTAGAGGATAACTGGAAAAGGTCCGATATTGTTTAGTTATTTAGTGTTATTGTAATACAAATATTTGAACACATTATAAACCAGAAAGCGATCTGAGATCGCCGACTTACCGATCTTGCGGTTTCGATTTCTTCGCTCTGACACAATAGCGACACCGCGTGTTCCATCACTATTTAATTAATAACTCGCTGATTATACGACATAATTCATCAAAAATCAATAGGCTCCTGGTCCGAGATATGATGGATGCACATGCAAAATTTGCAGCAGATCCAATTTCAGTAGATCCAACTTTCGTGAGATGTCGCGTAACATACGAAAGTGGAACAAACAAACAGACAAATACCTATCAAAATACTTACCGATCAAGATCGATATATATCAATTCAAACTGTAAAAAGCCAGGGTGTGAGCCGCGAGTGGTACTAGCTAAGGATCTTTGAGAATTATCGGTATCAGCGTTTTAATATCAAAAGTGGGGGAAATAACTGTAACAATAATTTTCGGTTCCATTACATTTGAACCCACGACAATTGCACTTGTATACTTTTGCACCAATGGAAATTTTTTTTGTTTACGGATATTTGAACCCATACTAACCCTAACCCATGGATTTTAGCGACCTCATATAGATTGAACCCGCGCACATATACGGGTGCAAATGTACGGTCAACATAATTTTTTATTGAGGATTGGGACTTTTACCAGTTACACTTCCCCCTCCCCCTCCCCCCAAATAAAATCATTTATAACCCTAACTTTATCATATTCGGCTGATATATGAGTTTTGCTAATTTATGAGTTTTCTTAATATTAGTGAGGGGTAGCTGAAAAAGGTTTGTTATTTCTGTGCAAATACGAAAATATGTTTATAGAAATTTGAGTTACTGTTTCCAAAATTGATGGCTATTTAAATAGTAGAATACCAGTTTGATTTGTGACAATTTGCTATTTTTGAAATTACGTCATGAGGTTGTTGAATTTTTTATCACTGTTAAGTGTGCATGCATTTGCAAAGTGACCCACAGTCATATTATGAAATGCAACCAAGTTAAAAATATTCAGCAAGTTCACATCAAATCCAATTTGCCTCAGACATCTCTTCTTATCCGCAAGCCTATTTTAATTGTATTTGTATTGATATTCTAATCTAATAATTGTGGTAATTTATTATTCAGAAATCTCAGCTGCCAAATTTGTTAAATCTCCGACAGAAATAACAGCAATTGAAGGAGGGATGGTCATGTTGAGGTGAATATCAATGAATTTGTTTTTCTTTTGGTAAATTTCACTCTAAACAAATCTCTAGATAATCATCTACTAATACATGGCTAGCTACTACTTTTAGGAAAAGGTTTTTGGGGTGGCGCACCAAGATGGCGCACAACCTGAATCCTAACCTGGTACACATACTATGTTCAGGTTGTGCGTCATCTTGGTGCACATACTTTGAGAGATCCGATATTCCAGCCCATGGTTTGCCATTTGGTTAAGTCATTAACGACTTTTTCTGAGGGATAAATTAGTAATTAAAACTGCTTGTGAGACTCTTAATAACTGAATGACTGAACCAAATTCTTCTCTTCTATTTCTGAGGATATAAAATACTCTGCATGTCAAAATGATATTTTTAAATACATAATAGTAAATATATATTGTATATTTGGTCGCATTCACCAGAAAAATGGTCTTTGCAAATTGAATAAATTTATTATCAGTTATTTTATTGTGCCATGTCCAATAATAATGAAAAAGCCAACTAGTAAAGGCAAAAGAATAAATATAGCCATATTAAATAATACCTGGCCACAAGGAAGTGTTCTATTACCCTTAAGGCGGCTACAGTCTCAATCTCAGTCTCAGAAACCTTGTGCTAGTCTAACTTTCCTGTTATGCTTTTCTACAGATGTCGGTTCACTGATGGCAACAGTAGACTAAGACGAACATGGACTAACGGAACCTCAGTAATTTATGCTGACGCGACAAAATATTCTTTCGATCCGCGGATAACGTTAGACGTGAATAATGCTCAAGGTTTGTTTGTTTTTCATAATTGTTTGAGTGCTTAAATAGTTTAAACTAGGCTCTAGACAAGCACCTAATAACATGAAAGGAGAGAGGATGGACAAATGGTGTTTTTGGTTGCCTTGCTTGTGCTGGGACCCTATTATCTCAAAGCGCACCATACGGAGTCCCAGAGCTCAATGAGAAACTTAGAGGCTCGGCAAGATATTCGTTTACTTATTAAAATACTGAATATTTTTCAAGTAGCCTACATAGCAGCAAATATATCCGAGTCATTAAATTAAGTCATTTTAGTTTACTCAGGAAACTTATTCGGTAACTAACAATGTGTTTTTGTTTTCTTTTTAATCACAATCCCATATAGGAAAATGAATCCCATAACGTTTAACCTCATCAATTATCAGTAGCCCTGTTAAACTGGGAATCTAAAGCCCAAGAGTTACTGTAATATGGTGGGAGTTGACTTTGAAGTCTGTATGGTTGCACTCAAAACAAAATAATATGTTGCTTTCAGTATAGGTTTCTGCGAGACTAACTCTTTGCTCGATGCCTTTGCGCTGGTAAAATCGTATTTGTATAATGCAAGGATGCTGTAGCAGGAAAATACCATATTATTATGCAAAAGCAATTCATGACTCCAGCTGCACAGAAATACATTTGTGTTAGTTTGCAGCATGGACTCTTGAATTGGATAATTTCTTGCTTGTTACTATTTTTTGTTACAATGAATGATTTTTGATGGACAAAATAATCAATCTCTCTCTCTCTTTCTCTAGAATACTCAGTCCAACTGAACAGAATCACAGCTTATGATGAAGGCAAATACACTTGCACACTCTACCATGGAAGAGAGATGGAAATGTCAATCAATTTGAAAGTAAATGGTGAGTTAGAGCCAGGGTTCCTCAAACTTTTAGAGTTACGGACCCCTAGAGGTTGACTATTATTTACGAAGCGCCATGATAAATTTATAAAAGAAAAAACGAAAGAGACATTTTTTTTAAAGATTAATGTCCCTGAGTAAGCTAATATCAAGGTGCTCCCGAAGTATGCGAACCAAGATGGCGGACATCGTAACGTAACATGGGTAACAGGTTAGGCGATAATTTTTTTCCAATTTTCCTCATTTTAGTCCTATTATCAGTTCGAAAACTAGCCAAGAGCCTCCCGTAGTATTTATACCTAAAATTATGGCCTAACCCTAACCTAGTACACATATTACATTCCGACGTCCGCCATCTTGGTTCGCATACTTCGGGAGCCCCAATATCAATTTATTAAATAATGACCGGAATGTATTCGAAAAATATTAAGTATTTTTATAAGTGAACAAATAGCTCGTCGAGGCGGAGGTTTCTCTCACTGAGCCTTGGGGTCTGTATGGAGCACTTTGTGAACCTAGAAGTCACATGGTTAGTTTGCTAGCCAGTGCATCAAAGGCACCTTTGTCTATGACTTAGTCTTTGACCTTTTGGCCATGTTACAGTATCATATTCTTGATTAGGGTGTCTGGTTTTATGGAAATAAAGTGGGCCGATATAATATTTTGGAAACTTTTTGTCGTTGATTTGGGACAAAAAAATCTCGGTGCTCCCGAAGTATGCGAACCAAGATGGCGGACATCGGAGCATAACATGGGTAACAGGTTAGGGTTAGGCGATAATTTTTTTTCCAATTTTCCTTATTTTAGTCCTATTATCAGTTCGAAGACTAGCCAAGAGCCTCCTGTAGTATTTATACCTAAAATTATGGCCTAACCCTAATCTAGTACACATATTACATTCCGATGTCCGCCATCTTGGTTCGCATACTTCGGGAGTCCCAAAATCTCTTTTCATTTTTACATTTTAAGCTGATTTTGCTTTCTAATATAAGTTTTGCAATTTGTTATAAAGAACGTTTGACGCAGAAGGCCTTATCTCAAAAAATATCATTCCCATAAAAAGTTATTTCTGCTAAAATTACCACACTAGATTATTGACAAAATTTAATATCTAGCGTATCAAATTAAATCAATTTGATAATTTTGAAGCTGATAGCTTAAATTTCTGAAATGATTTTTAACACGGAATTCAATATTTTAATGGCTGTTGGGCTTGTGATCAAGTGTATATTTAGTTTGTGATTTCCATGGTGTCTGTAGAGCCTCTTTATGATTTGAAAAATTTATCATAAGAGTTTACAGTGGCTTTACAAATATCTTGGATGGATATATTGAATAATGAGTCCTGCAATATGACAAGTTTTTTTTATAAATTAAGCAGCGTGATGACTGGCCGGTCCTCGAAAATATAAAAATAGCTGGGAAAATATGAGATTAGAGTACCAAAAATATGGCACTGTACCAAAAACGTTGCATTCTAGTGCCGAAAATGTGACATTTTACTGAAAGTGTGGAAGTTTAATAACAAAAATGTGGCATCATAGTGCCGAAAATGCGACATCATATTGTTGAAAATGTGGCAGTATAATACTAACACAAATGTGGCATCATAGCATCAAAAATATGTCATCCTTTATGGTACCAAGGGGGAAGTGTGACATGTACTCTGTGATGGCGAAGAAACTTACAATTTTTTGGAACATAATCTTCTTCCCTGCATTGTGCTAACGTGCCTTGTAGATAGAGAAACTCGTATTATCTTTATAATGATTTCTTCCAATTTCTGTTGAAAATGAATTAATTTGGAATATATTTAGTACTTTGTATTCGATGATATTATTTTATAATGTATTCAGAATAGTAAATTATTCAATTTTGCAAGTCATTGTCCAGTGTGAAACTCGTGAATAAGTGATAAGTGAATTCTTATGTAGATGGAGGAATATGTCTACCCTACATCAAATACTTACTCCAATCCAGAGTATATCCAATATCTTATATTCGATAATATTAAAGTCCGCCGAAGCAGACCATTGGGCATTAAATTCTCACGGCTACCAGTCCTCACCTGAAAATAGAGATGATACTCATAAAATATTAATCAAATGAGACAATGTTTAAACCTCCCACATATTTATGATCTGTTAAGTGCTTTATCTTGTTTTGAAAACCCATTTAAGTAGACATGCATTATGAATTAGGTTTGTATTTCCGATTGAAAATGGTTATGTCAACATTCTTGATATTTTGAGACACTTTTCTTAAAGGTTGTTGAAGGTTTTCTTCTCATTTTAGTAATTGTCCCTAATTTAGATTCACAGAGATTTGTTTTTTCTTTCTGAGGAACTTTCATTTGTTCAAATAGTCAAACAATGCCACTTAATTAAAGGTGCAGAAGGACAACATCAAATCGTACTCGGCTAGGCCTTGATACTCCTATTTACCGAACTTGAGCAATCTGCTATAAAAATACTAAAAATAATTCAATTATGAAATATCAGATGTATTCTCAATTGGATCATTCTACAGCCTAACTTGGAAGTTAGGGTGCTCCCGAAGTATGCGAACTAAGATGGCGGACATCGGAACGTATCATGGGTAACAGGTTAGGGTTAGGCGATAATTGTTTTCCAATTTCCCTTATTTTAGTCCTATTATTAGTTCGAAGACTAGCTGTGAGCCTCCCGTAGTATTTATACTTAAAATTATGGCCTAACCCTAACCGAGTACACATATTACATTCCGAAGTCCGCCATCTTGGTTCGCATACTTCGGGAGCCCCGAAGTTAGAAATTTCAAACTCCTTCTTTCTCCCACTTTTGATAAATCCTGGCTACCCCCCTGTGCAAAAGCCAAAAGATTTTGCAAATATTTTCAATTCTAAAATACAGGAATACACACTAACCAACAAGTCAGTTGCTTTATTCCTGGGGTTCTCAACCCCCCAGGGGTTCACGAAGAGATTTCCAGGGGTACTTGGAAGGCAGTCGAGTTTTTGTGTGTTGCTGTTTCTATTGTCCTATATTACTACCAGAGGAAAATGTGTGCCACTTGTAACGTAGATTTTCTCTGATCTTGCGTTGTTGTGATTGTGGCGCAACAATGTGAAATTCCCCGCTTTGCAGACAAACTGAAATTTCTAAGACAGCGTTCTTTGAGCACTGTAGAAAGCGATTATGCTTATTGATACTTGGGGAAGATTTTAAGAATTCATTCGTTAGGCAGACGACAAAGACAATAATATCAACGCGACGATTTAATTTAGTTACATATGATCAATAAATTGTTGTTGCAACAAATTCTTAGTCAATATATCATGATTTTGTTTTCTGCCTGATTACGGGGGTTCACGTTGATTGTTTCGTCACTCTGGGGGGGTACTTAGCAGAAAAAAGGTTGAGAACACCTGCTTTATTCCAATAACTAACCCCTAATAAAAACACGCGTATTCCAGCGTTCGATCGGACCAACTAGTTGTTTCGATCTAACCTGGCTAATAAAAATTTTCGACCCCCCCCCTTTGAAAATTTCTGTCTACGCCCCTTGACCTCCAGGTGCTTTTTTGACCCTCAAGACACTTTGAAACCTACGTATTCCAGCCTCCGGTCCTCCCCCATCCACCCACAGATTAATCTACTAACAGGCATGATCGCATTCTAATTTCCCACTTTCACAATTTCTCAAAATTGGCAAATTGTGCTGTTGGACATAGATTCAAATCATTCAAAATCCTTTGCAAATACTTCAATTAAACATCAATAATTTGATATCATCTTTATTCTAAGATTAACGCCAGTTCTATTCATATCCGCCATTTTAATTTAATTTGTAATTGCCATTTTCTCATTTTCAATGAATTTTTCATGATATTCCTAGATTAATAAGCAGACAGTAGGACATAGCCAGCCCAAAATTTTTCAAAGTTCAATTGTAGAGCAAAATGGTGTTGAAATGTCTCACTGCAAATGCTGCTTTTTTCGGGGTAAGGGGATGGCAAGAATCTTCTTAGCTACGCCTTTGATAACATTTGCCAAATGATTGGGTCATCTCATTGACTTTTTCTCCTCAGAATGACTATGAAATTCTTTATTGTTAAGCTTTTTGCCAATTCTATTCACATCACAAGTCATCATTTTAATTTAATTTGAAATTTGTCCTTTTTCTCATTTTGAATTAATATTTCATTATGTTTGGTCAGCTTTTACAACAAGTAACATCACATCCTACAACAATGTTAAACAACTCCAATTTTTTCGATCAAAGTTGAGTGAAAATAGCTTATCTATAATTTTAAGATTTGTGTGGAGAGAAAATAGTGTTTAGTGGAAAAAAAGGGCATTGGACGGTACTTATGTTGCCATAAAAGATCTTTGGTTTTTGCCCCATGCCTATCACCTCATCAAGGGTGTAATAAAATAGGTACTCTCGTAGTGTGTGTACCAGGTTAGGGTTAGGGCATAATTTCATTCCGATTTCTCTTATTTTAGTTCTATTACGTGTTCGAGGACTGGCCGTGTTAGCCAAGTGAATATACCCCTGCCCATAAGCTTCCGTCGCTTTACGTTCCGATGTCCGCCATCTTGGTTCGCATACTTCGGGAGCACCCTAACTTCCAAGTTAGGCTGTAGAATGATCCAACAACACTGGAGAGCGCGATTATGCTTATTGAAACTTGGGAAAGACCTAACAGAGAAAAAGTTTGAGAACCCCTGCTTATTCCAATAACTGCCCCCCCCTCATTATGTTGTCCCTGACAAATTATCAAGATGGCCAGACCCCCAAAAGTTTGAATGAATAAAAAGTACATTAATGATATATCAATCATTTAAACTAGGAATCACATTCATTCACATAATCATATCTGTCTTACATGCAACTGTACTGTAGACTGTAGTAATATTCTTATTAATTATTAATGACACAATATCAGGATTATAACAGATATAATATATCTTATGACTTCAAAATACAGAGCGTTCATAAAGGAATGTTATAATTTTA